TGTGAGAGTGTGGAAGAGCGTGCCATCCATGAACCACTGGATTGTCTCCGTCTGCCAGTTGTTGGAAGTACGGTCGATCTTGAGGGACCAGGTGTGGAATTGGTCGTCTTGTGGAATGGCAATGCTCTCTCCCAGGCCCGAGGGCTCGTTGCAAGCACCGCCACCAACGTGGTCACAGTGGGCAGTGCCGTAGCCCGTCAGCTGGCCATTGATCTGCTCAAAGATGTCGAGCTCTCCGCAAAGAGGCCAGGGAGTGCCGGTGCGCATAGACTCGCCCAGCATCCAGAAGGCGGGCCACATGCCCTGCTTCTGGTTGACATCGCTGCTGCCGCCTCGGAGAGCAGCCTGGACTTGCATGACTTTTCCGGGCGCAGGGGCCCAGGACTGGACAGACTCAATACGAGAGGAGGTCCACTCCCCATTGGCAGACTGCTGAGGGACGAGCTGGAGGGTCTGGCCACCCGAGAGCTGCATGTTGGAGCCGGACTGGGTGTAAGTCTCGAGCTCCTGGTTGTTGTGGAGGTCGGTGATGATGTTCCACTGGGTCAGGTCGACCATGCCGCCCTGGTCACCGACAAAGGTCTCCTGCCAGACCATGTTCATGCCCTGAACATTGGGGGCGAGAGTGGCTCTGGCGGACAAGGCCAGGGAGAAGACGGCGAGAGATTGAAAGAGCATCTTGTTGGATGGTTATATGGTTATAAAAGGATTGTATGGTTCTTTGGTTGCACAGCAAAAGTGTGAGAGACGGCCTGTTCTCGGTTGAAAGGGATTGAAAGGATTTCAGATGAAATCTCGAGATAAATCGCTCGCTGAAAGTGCTTTGAGCTGAACTGAACTGAACTGAACTGTAAATGAGTCGCAAACTGGTTGGACAAAGGATTGTTATATGTGTCTGCTAAACAGCAAGAAGGAAGTGAAATCAAGGAGTGCGCAGAAAATCGACCAGCGAAAGGAAGGGAATCGGCCACAGGCCTGTTGAGAAGGAAAGTTGAAGTTGGGGAGAAAGAAAAAGAAGAAAAGGGTATCAAAAGCAAACCGAAGAAAGGCGCGTGGGAAAAGAAAAGGGAAGGAAAGGGGGGACGAGAAGAGATGGTGGCAAACGAGGAGCCTTTTGTATGTACAGCCAAGTCACATCCACGGCTACGAAGCTGGCGCGGAACGAGACGCTACAAACTGCTGCCACCACTGTTCAATACGTGCACCACTGCTGTTATCGCCATTGTTGGCACCGGAACCATGCTCGATTGCATGGCTGCAATAGGCCCAGATGCGCGGATTCATGCACCGCGCAGGGTCTGCAGGTGCCCGGCATTGAATGTTTACTGCACGCGCTACAAGTCAGGCACAGATCCACCAAACACGGCATCCAGGCGCCATCGTTTAGGTGGCCAGCATGGATGGCATCAACGGCGTCAGCTTAGAGGAGCACAGAGTCGGATGTTTGGCTTCAACAACTGCTGCAGTGGAGTGATGGAGGGGGAACCTGCGCTGTTAGGCTCCGGACCCCTGTCCCCTTAAGCGCGGCAGGTTCAGGGCCCAGGCACCAGGCAGTGCCAGAACGAGCCGTGCGCGGCAAAAACGAGCCCTGCAGGGTGGGATTTGGAAAGTTTTGAAACATGAAAGTGGCCGGGATTGTGGGCGAGGGGCCAGCGAGCGAGTGGTGAGCGAGACAATGGGGGGTGAAACATTTTCTTAGGTGCATATATTAATAGAGCAGTGTGTTTTAGCAGACGTGTAGTTGAAGGAGTAGGTAGTCGAAAAGCTATTTATTCATGCGGCGAGGCGTGGATTGGCTGCGGATGTCGTGATGGTGAGGCATGGCGGTGGTGGTGATGGCAGCGGAGAGTGGTATCCGAGCCTGATGCTGAAGCGGGCGTTTCCAAAGTATGCCTAGCTGTAAATAAACGCACAATGCGATAGAAGTCGTCGGAGTTTGCAAGAGAAGAGAAGCCAAAAGGCCTCGCCGTTGGGTAGATATGGAGCAGAATGTTCTATATCCGGAGTAATTGGTTGGTCCATGGGCGATCTCTCAGAATCCAGCAGCGATCGGCCAATATATCACAAACAATGGCCCCGTCCTCATCTCATCCCGCCTTTTATTCTCTCCATGTCTGGAGCAGATCTTGTCAATTAGCAGCAAAAATAGCAAAACGACCCTGCTGCTATTTTACATAGTAAGATCAAAATCCCCGTCTCATATCCATATCCGTCTCAATCTTGTGTAAGCTAAAAAACACATGCAAAAACCATTTACCATTTCATGACCACCATGTACCAAGGCAGGCAGTTGTAAACACATGCATGTGAACCATCCACCTACTGACCTAGACCTGTATGTGTATGTACATATGCCCAACCATGCATCTACCAAAATGGCCTCATCTCCGTACCCCCCAATCGGATCTCTTTCCCCCATAGATAAGACACGAGGACCAAAAAGAAGCAAAAAGACAATGAGAGAGAAATTCCCATCTACAACCCTTGCATATGCCAACGTGCATGAGGCTAGCAAATGCAAAGGGGACACGCCGTCGTTACGGGTTTGGCTCACCCGCAGCGCAAGCCCAGCCAATCACGCGCCCAATGTGCCTGGTTGACTCGTGCGTTCAGGAGGCGGGTGGCCATTTTGGGCTGGGCTTTGCTTTTTAATGGCTTCATGTTGCCCAATACTACTCTAAGGGGGGAGCTATTGAACTTTTTTTTTTTTCATAATCTATCATTTTGAATGATCGTAGCTGTCATTTTGTATCTTATGAATTCTTATCGAGCCTTATTTGTACTTATCTATCTGTTAGATAGGCAATTCGGCCTCTTGCACCGGTTTCGGGACAGAAAAGGTGTCTTGCATCTCAGCCAGACAGGGGCAAAATGTTTGTTTGATGCAGCAAACAAAACTCTAATAAAATGCCCGATACTACCCAATATGCCTTTCTCACCATGCACTCTTATCATCCTCATCACCCTCATCACCCTCATCACCTCATCCTACAAGCGTAAATTCACTTTCATCCAGCTGACCTGCTGCATACACAGTCTAAGTAATCAGTTGTCTGTCATGCCAGCGCCGCTCCCCAAAGAATCCCCAAGTCTCCGCCCCAGCTGCACAATCGTTTTCTCGTAGATTCGCGCAGCGTCCAAGTGCAGCTCATCCTCGTCAATGTCCCACGCAGAGTTGCCGCCAGCATCGTAACTCTCTCCCCCTTCCGTTTCATTGCCGCCATCTCCATCAGTCTCATCATCTTCCTCTTCCTCCTCTTCCTCCTCCTCTTCTTCCTGCTCGCCACTGCTCATGACTTCAACCATCAACACCCTCGTCTGCTCGACGAGACTCCGGCATCGCACCATGTCAGTAGTTGTCATGCCCGCGCGTAGGCCATTTTCAAAGCCCGGAAGTGTATCGTTAGTTTCAATGTCCTGGCCGGAGAGTAAGCTGGCAAAGCAGTGGTCCAGTTTGTGCAGTAGATCAAACGACGCCTTGGACGATGGCGGAAACGACCGGACATATTGCGTAAAGTCGCTGGCCATCTTGAGCAGAAACGGTATTTGTAAACTCGCTACACCATGCCATATTAGTTAGCGTTTTTGTGATACTTTATTCAAGTAGTACAACTTTGTTTGATAGTGATTGCAAGAAAACTCACGCGTGCCTGATTTCCACAAGACATTCACAATCCCATCGAGCTCCTTGCAGACTTCACTAAAGCTCTTGAACCCGACCACCGCATCGCCCGGATCCGGATTTCCAAACTTCTTCACATAGCGGCGGGAGATATAGAGCAGCCTGTCCTCTACATATCTCCGGACCATGTCCTCCTTGTTGGATCCGGGCCGCAGCGCATTGTTCCTCGGGTGCGGCAGACTAGATGCGGCCCGTGAAGACGCCGATGATGGCGCTGGCGATGGAAGTCCGCCTTGAGAGCGGATAAAGCCGCCGGGCAGCTGCGCAGACTCGGCCATAAGCACTGTAAGAGACAATATTGTGAAGATTTCGATATGTCCACGCGATAAAGCCCTTTGCAGCGATGCGAATCTGCTTCCAGATGTTCTCAATGACGATATGGCGGCCGATTCAGATAAGCGGGGGCGGGGTGCCTGTTGATGCTTTTGAGAGTGAGATACCCTGTAGAGAGAGAGACGGTTTCATAAGTCGCGCTATTGTAGAGTATAATCAACAACTGGGAAGATGAAAAAAAGAAATTTGTCGGATTTGTTTACTTGTTTGCTGTGAGATGTCACTTATGTCATGCAGCTTTATGGTTTACGCCACTTCCAGATAGGCGTTGTAGAATACAGTGGCATAAACAACTCTCGGTTGAAGAGTATTCGAAAACTACACCAAGCTACACCAAATCTTATAGAAACGCCACGCAACTTTCGGAATAGAATGGCGTGATGAGAGAGAACAAAAGAACAATTAGAGATTAGAATACGTCTTGAGCCTTTCATAAAGAGATACAACATATGTTACTATTACTTGGCGTTACATCACGTTCTCTCACAATATATTATGAGATTAAAGAAATTGGCTAGATAATTTGTGAGATACCCTAAATTCATCTTGACAAAAAATCATAGCATACATAAAAAGCTAGCCAGCTTGAAGAAAATTGAGCTGCCTCTTTTCCCTCAGCACAGACGGCTATCCGTTTAAAACGACAGCAAAAAATGAGTGATTCCGCCCGGGCTCGAACCGGGGACCTTTTCGGTGGCGTTAAACGATGTTAACGAAATGTCATAACCAACTAGACCACGGAACCAGATCTTGTAGATGTCAGAATTGCGGGATATTGTGGTATATGTTGAGGCTACATCTGCCAATCATGTGACTCGGCCGCGGCGATGGCGGGGCGCTTCTGAATTTTTGACAGCGGCTCCAGTGACGTTCGCATCCCGCAGACTTCGAGTGGACATATCGAGCTCTAAAACTTGTCGCTTTCCATATTACTCGTCTCGCTTGATCCGCCTCCGATTCCCGCGACATCCTCAGACACGAAACCATGCCTCCCAAGCGAATCTACGGAGAAAAGGGCCGCCGCGCCCCCAAGGGCTTCGTCTCCTCTACATACGATGCCCTGACTTCCGCTGAGAACGCCGCTTTCGTTCGCAGCATTGCCATCTTTGGAGTGCGTCGCTCGTAATCCGGCTATTCATGAGCGCAAAAAAGACTAACAAACTGCAAAATAGGCTGCCGTCACTTTTCTCTCCAGCTCCTGGGGCGAGATCCTCCTCCCTCCGTATGACTCTCCAGATGCGATTGATACCAGAGAGACGCTTGCTAACAGCTGAGGCGATATAGTCAATAAATCGACAGGCATTCACTCGGCCTATACTCCAGCACGACTTGATTTGATCAAACAATTCGATATCCCCAAGCAGGAAAAGGAATTGGTCGTTGTACATTAGAAGGATTTGATTGTATGCTACGATGCGACATGCACGGGTTCTGCCACATGCAATATAGACTTACGAGGCGACTTTGGACGGACGGCGCAGCTTGAAAATGGCTTTGCTGGAAGTTTTTTGACTCGATAATGAAGGGAAAAAAGAGAAAGAAATGACAAAGAACGGCTCTCCATTTTTGGAATATCTTGCGACTTTGTACCGTGTGCATGTTGCGCTGCTTTTTGTGACATATCCTATCGGAAATCTTTGTCGCACGTGGAAAAACGAAGAGCTTTTCGGGGAGCTTCCTGGAAAGAACTGATCATAGTACCGGCCTTGCTTGCTCCATCTTCTACTTCCTGCCGGCGGATTTCTGACGACAACAGGAAGCCACTGCTGCTCTCGGTAGCCATTAGACTGATAATTGGTAGTTCGACGCAAACTCTCGCTCCAGGTACGGCCTCATACTGACAATTGCTTTGGGTGCATTGCCTGGACACCCATAGCGTTTTATTTAGCTTCCTAGGGGAAGGGTACTCGTTATTTGTCTTTCAACAACTACTCGCTTTTCTTTCTAGGTACCTTTATAACTTTTCTCCTTGCGCCCTCGATTCGTTCTTCACACTCCCCTGGGTGATATCGACCTGACGACTGCGTTGTTTGCCTCTAACGGAGCTGGCTGACGGGAGAAATGTCTGCTTTGAACTCTCAGCGTGTACCCCCGCCCCAAGGGGGATTGGCACGACTGGTCTCCAAATTCGAGAATCTGGGAGCTTCGCCGAAACCTGTTCAGAACGATGGAGTGACATACGAGATTCCAAGTCGTGCTTTCGTCGATTCAAACCCTACCAAAGCCCCATCGATGCACGACAAAGTACAAGACGGCACTGAAACTTTGAAAGCCGCGACATCGCCATCTCCAGCTCCCGTCAGCGTCCCTCCGCCCAAGCGTGATGACACAGCTCAGCCAGAACCTGCTGCTAAGGATATACATACTCTAAAAAACACCATTCCATCACTGAAGCCGAAAAGGCCACTGACGCGGAGCGGTTCGGTGGTGGCGGAGATGAGGAGATTGTTCGAGCGAGGGTCTGCTGAGAATACCGCTTCTAGTGGGTTGCCGAATCTCTTTGATATCCTTTTGCAGATTGGCACATATATACATGCACTCTCAATTTTGGACGAGTTCACAAAATGTGAGCTAACATTTTGTTAGACATCGTGCCAGCTACCTATGAACCTAAACGCGGTGTTTCACCTACTACGACCAACGAGTGTGACGAACAGAATGCGCCCTCTTGTGCAAATATCTGCGCCAAGGGATCTTTGAAAACAGAAGCAATGGCCACTATTGCCGGGGATCTAGACGAATCAGATCAACAAGAGGGAAAGGATGCTGTTCCAGACCTGATACCCTTCCATGTAGAGCATCCCGAATGTCTGCCACGACCACTTGCCTCTCCCGATTGCTCTTCCCGGCGCTCTGAGGAGACCGGCGTCGGTGTCAAAGGCAAAGCGAGCGCCTGGCAAAGAGGGACTGAGACCCGATTCAAGTTGCAAGGCGGTGCATTTCAACACAAGACTCCATCCCCGCTCAAAAATATGATTGTTACAGGGATAGGGGCTTGGTATCCGAAGGCTTGCAACTCATTACCTGGAGAGGTCCTGCGCTCCGAGAGCGAAATGTTGAACAATGATCATAAAAATACAGAGATCTTCTCTCTGGCGGGGAGAGAAGGGGCTGAGCCGGATTTGGCAGAGCATTCAATGCTCGATGCTCCTCTACACGCCCCATGTCAAGACACCGAATCATTATCAGCCGCTCATATCACTAGCGACCCTAAGAAACTACTTCAACTCAAGAGTCCAGTGTTAAAGACTTCCAGATCTGTTCCCTCTCACGAGTCAAAAGTGTCTAGCCTTCGTAAAATGTTCGATAGCTCGTTGCCTTCGTCAATCTCGATGCCGTCATTCTAGAGGAGGCACCTACGGACAGACGCAAGCAATGATAAGCAGCCATTTGTACTAAATGAAATCGCAAAAGTCGGCTCAACTTCGAAATTCTCCCCTAAGATGTCGTTACGATTGACTCCGTCCGGTCAAGCCCCCGCGCGCTATACTTCAAGGGTGGATGGCTCTCTCCCGTCACAGGCAATGGCAACTTCTGCCAAACGGGGACTCAAGGAGACGATTGGCCTTTTCGAATCAATGAGTCATCAAACTGATGGAGAAGACGGATTTGATCATATTCCTAAAGCCTATTCGTCTCCGGTCTTTTTGCAGTCTACCATCCCTGATGATGCCCCTCATCAGGAGAGACAGCATGGACAAAGGGCCACCAAGGCCTGGGATGTAACACCTACCCCGAGATTATTATTACCATTGGAGGGTAGGCTCCCCCGCTCATATAGTCAATCTCCGGATATGGACACTATTAGTAGTCAAGCAAGCGATGTCAAGCCTCTGCTTTATACTAAGCCATCTACATCGAAGGCGAACCGTCACAGAAGAGGCCTTGTAAGTGTTCAATACCCGCTGTGTACTGTTTGGTATACCAAGTAGATCAAATAACCTAACTTATCAAGGGGTCGATACTCAGGCCAGGTTGGCGGAGGAAAGTGAACACGAGCTCTGAAGACGCCGGGCCACATGGCCACCCAGAGCCACGGCGAGGCTTTAACGTGGATGGCGAGGGAGGATTTGACTTGCAGTCACAGTATGGGCCGGACAGTTACGAGGAGACGTTGGAAAATACCTGCGAGTCATTTCCTATCAAGCATCGACTCAGCATTATTGACCGCCATCCCTCTCTTCGCCTCCTAAGCCGACGTTTAATCTCCCGTAGCCACGGGCTATTCGTGTCGCAGGCCCATTGCCCGCTTCAGCAACCCCAGCCTGTCCGAGGAGGAGAGATACGGCGTATCACCAGTCTTTGCAAGGACAAGATGGCAGCGTTCAGGGCACGGCCTCAGACAGAGTAGATGTTGGGGAGTATTATGAGTAAAGATGGGTAAAATCAATCGATACTACAGATACTCAACTACGACAACAATTACCTGCGCACATCATTTCTTTTCAGTTTGTTTGGATGCCAATTAAATGCATGATAGAAATATTATTAAGATCACTAGCTGACCCAGACTGACGTTCAAGTCGCCACAAGGGGTAAGTGATGGGAAGTGAAAGTGAATAGTGTAAGAACCCTCAAGTAGAAAACAGCAAGTTGAGGTATATCTTCAAATCTCAATCTCCCTTCCAAGTCGTTAATAGAATAACATATCAACGCGCTGCCTCCCTGTGCTGCAACAAATGACTACTATATATAGATATAAATGCTCGGTTCAATACGCACGCTTGCTAATGCAGTGCCGCAAATGAAGCAGAAAAACCCGTCCCTCAGCACTACTTGTGAGACTGGCTCCCGCCCAAATCTGCGCTGATGTGAGTCTCCTGTGGCTGCAAGTACCCATCAATCTGTCTCAGCTCAAGCTCGATGGGATCAACAACATCTCTAGCACAGACAGTGGTGGTGTTCCGTGACGTCGAGTGAGACCGAGCCGCAGAGATGCTGTTGTTGGTCGAAGTTGCAAACAGCGATCCGGCTTTCAGGGGCGTATTGGAGCCGGAGCTGCGGTTGTTTTTGTAGCCTCCTGCACCGGTAGAAGAGGGATAGCCGGAGAGGCTGGGAACGGCGTTTTGGTTTGTATAGGCCAGGCGCTGGGCGACGAGGGAGCCGAGAGGCAGGATGAGGGTGATGGAGGCTGGTGTGAGAGAGCTGGACTCGAAGTTTAGGATGGGGCGGAACTCGATGAAGGCGAAGATGACTGTGGTGGAAAAGGGTGTTAGTTACCGGTGAGACACGATGAGAGTGAGAAGAGTTTGTTTTACCTGGGATGATCATGAGTGCGCCGTTGGTCACGACGAGCACCTCCATGGGGCTCATAGCCCGCCGGGAAGGAAGCACGCCGCGGTTGGCGATGAGGTGGATGATGATCTTAGAGTTAAAGAGCGCGCAGAACCACAGCGTCGTGCAGATGTTGATGATGACCATGGCGTGCACCAGCCAGGCAAACTGCACCGCCGGCTCCAGGGCGTAGATGGCCTTGCACTGGATCACGGTAAAGGCCGTCCGGGCCGCCACCGACAGCAGCGCAAAGAGCAGCGACACGGCGCAGAGCACGAACTTGGTTGCCGTCGGCCACAGCGACACCATCGTCCAGGCCTGGTTCATGAGCGCCATGTCGTTGACCACCACGAGCAGCATCGACAGGACGGTGCCGGCGACGCTCTCGCGGTACGTCCAAGAGGGGACGCCCGAGTAGTCGCCGCTCCAGACGGCGTAGAAGTGCGCAAAGGGCGATTCAAAGTACAAGGCGAGCAGGACGGTGCGGACGATGCAGACGAGAAGACCCAGCAGGTGCAGCAAGTGGGCGGTGCGGAGGAACTTGGAGGGCGGCGTGGTGAAGAGCACGACGAGGAGCATCATGATGGCGGCGCCGAGCTGGGTGCCGTAGTTGAGGACGATGCTGACGGTTTCGTCGTTGAAGGAGTCGATGAAGTGGAGGGGGATGTGGAGGGCGGGGAGGGCGGGGGAGATGCGGATGGTGACGTTTTGGGCGTAGGGGTTGAAGGACATTGTGATGATTTTGAGCTGCTGGTTGGTGATGATTCTGTTGGTGATGTTGGTGGTGATGTTGGTGATGTTGGTGTTGAGGCGCTCTGAACAAAGGGTTGGTCTTGTAACTTTACAGAAGCAAAAAAGAGGATATATTGAGATATAAAGAAGATGTAATTTGCAATGTTTTTTTGAATGTTTTTGCTAAATTGTATCGCGGATGAAAGCTATTGTTCTCTGCTCTCCCATTCATAGTCGCCTTGGTATTCTCTCCGTGCCACAATCTCACTTATAAGAGAAAAACAGAAGATTGTCACTTTGCTCCCCCCCACCCTCTCTGCTATGATACGCTGGCATTGTTTCGTAGTCGCAAAATACCTGCCTTTTCCTCCGAATAATCCCATTTCCAGCTGTCAGTCTGAAGTTTGGAGCATAAAGAGACGGATAGATTGATTGAGAGACGCAGGGTGCGGGAAGGGAGCCTTGATATTGTTGTCTGGAAAAGTGGCGTCTGGGCTTAGTATTGTTCTTGGGACAGGGGAGCTGGAATTGGAAGTGTTTGTGGTACAGGGGGAGGTGAAGGCTGTTTTTTATATTGTGTCATGCGGGTTCAGCTTGGCCCGATGTTCTTTTTATTTGAAATACTGCTGCAGGCATGCTTTTTGAACTATTGAATGTGTGGTTTATTTCTGCGCTTGTTTGAGCTGAAGCTTGCATGATGCGTGATATTGCATTCGATGACCAGCTGGTGGCAGCCTGGGGGAGGTATTTGGTGTGCAAGTGCACCTTGCAGCTGTGATTTTGATAATAGACGCATTATTAGCTGCGGGAACTACTGCTAGGCAGATTAGCACTGAAGATGGAATTGCCCGCAAAGTGGTCAGTGTGGCGGCACCGGCCGAGGCTCTGCCACCAACAACAACCAAGTGCCGGCCGATCCAGCTGTCAGTCGCAGCCTTGTGGACTTTTGCACTATTCATGTACTACTAAAGAAACTACTAGTAAAAGATATAGTAGTTAGTGCAGTGTTTTACATTAGTACTGCTCTTGTAGTGTTATGTTGAATGATCCAGATGGCCCAAGTGGTATCTGTATTTCGTATCCGCATCGTAAACGTCACGGCCGCTGGACATTCACGACTCATGCCACGGCTATCACGGCTGACAATGTCAAACATCCAAATCAATAGTCTGAAAGCAAACACTCTTTCCAAGGCATTATCAATCTCCTAGAAAGAAGAACAGAAAAGCAGTTCAAGTAACACCAACTCAAACACAAACAGAGGGGGGGAGAGGGGGGTTGTGTAACTCGCGGATCCCCTCCGCAGCCGCTCCTTTTTTTCCCGCCGTAGCACAGAACCTGCTGTCAAATCCAAATCGAGAGAATAGATAAGGAGAGAGAAAAAAAAAGGGGGGGGTGGACACACAGACGAAAAGAACAATGTCAAAGCGCGGCTGAAGTTGTTTGCTACTTTTGCGGCTGTGAGACAGACGGACAGATACCCCCTGTCTGGAGGGGTAATGGATTGGCACACACACAGCTGAAGTCGAGGTCACCGTATGAAATGCATTTTGAGTAAGAGAAGGAAGAAGTAAAAATTTAGTTGAGTGGTTCTATGGCCCGTGATACCATCTTTGCACCATCTAGTATTCCGTATTGTACGCAGTTGTCGTAATCATCATTCATCGTTTGTAATCCAGCACTTCTCGCAGCACGAGTGTTTCTATCAAGTAAATCCAATCAAACAGCCGCCCGCCAAATGAAACACAAAAACGCAAATAAGATAAAAGCAAATCAGTAGCTCCAAATTATGGTAAAAGGCGTGTTGAGCCTCCAAAGCAACATCAGTAAAGGCAAATCCCGCCAACTTCATCCTCCATCGTCCAAGTCCCAGCAAGCCCCTTGACCTCAACGTCCTCCGTCTCCGGCAGCGTCGCGTCCGCCGTCTTGCCCAAGAAGAAGTCTCCGCTGCCGGCCTTCTTACCCTCCCGGCTCAGGAACCGCTGCGTCCACTCGCCCACGGCCGGCTCGCCTGTCTCGTCGCGGGCCTGCTTCAAAAAGGGAATCAGCGCCGTGCCGCCGGTGCCCTTTTGGTCCTTCTGATCTGCCTTGCGCGAGGCAATCGCCAGGTTGAGTCCCTTGCGAGCTGCCCGGGGACTGCGCGACCGGCGAGACGGCGTGATGACGTAGCGCGTGACGATGATGATGTGCTTGTCCCGGAACGCGCTCAGCATGGCCAGGCAGGCGTCGTAGGCGAGGCAGAGCTCCGTGTCGTCGGTGTGCTCCTCGACGTACTCGCGGATGTTGGCCACGTGGTAGACGTCTTCGAGGAACTGGGCATGCGGGCCGGGCATGTACTGGCGCATTTCCTGGATGAAGCCGTGAGTCGGGGCCCGGCCTCGGCGCTCAGACGGGTCGCCCTTCTTCTCGCCCGTCGGACGGTGCTGGATTCCCAGGGCAATGTCGTAGAACTGGAGCAAGCTGCTCTGGGCGTTGCTTCCCCCGGCGTACTGGCGATACGCTGCGTTGGGCGTGCCGTCGTCGTAGAGAACGCCCTTTGGCAGTCCGGCGTCGGCCATGTTCTTGCTTCCCGCGAGGAACGGCCTGATGCGGTTGAAGAAGATGTCGGGGTCGCATCTCTCGTTGATTCTCTCCAGCATGATGCTCAGATCAGTCAAGATCTCGGCAAAGGTTTGCAGATACCGTGTCACCGCTGCCGAGTCACTGCGTCTTGCCGCCGCAAAGGCCTTGAGCATGAGGGACATGACGGGCGCGCCACGAGCCTCAATGGCGACCGAGATGAGGTAGAACCACGACTCGTCGATTCCTCCGGTAAAGGTAGACAGCGTGGCCAGGTTCTCCATGCTGTCAATGTCCTCGTCCATGAACAGCGGCTTGTAGTTCCACAGACAGACCGCCGCATACGTCGCCACCGGCGGGACCTCGAGGTGCTCCGAGATTGCCAGATACGGAATCGAGATCTGCGGCGGCAGACGCTCGGCGGGAACATCATCGCTCCAGATGTAGCCGTGGGCCATGAAGCTCAGCAGCGAATACGCCCGACGCCACTCGGCATCGTGCTCCAGGCCCACGGTCGACAGCACCGGCAGGCGGTCAATGACGCCGCGCAGCCGGCGACTAAGGATCAGGGCCGGCAGGTTGGCCGCGATGGCCTCCCATTTGTTGTAGTAAGGATCTGGGAGGCGTGAGAGGGGGAGTGTGCCCGGCAGAAAGCCATGAGTGGGCGAGATGTCGTAGTCAGCAAGGACGGGAATTGGTGGCAACATGGTGTCAGTCCAAGGAACCTCTATAGCAGGAGTTGCCTAGATGGAAGCCAGATAGTAAGGCTAGATGAAAGTGAGGCAAATAAGTTGAAAGAGAGGAGAGAGTTAAAAAGGATCGAGACTAGGTCTGAGTTCTGAAACGATCGCTGAGTTGCTGGGGATTTTTTTTGTGAAGCGTCTAGCGTGGGGGACGCGGCAAGTTCCTAATTTTCCTCGTCTGCGGGATAAACGCCCAGGAATTTCTAAGCCGCCGACAATCGGACGTTGCAGTGAATTACACAGAGAGGAGAAGAAAAGGATAGCAGCATTCGATGACGAGTCACACGAAAAGAACGCAATCTATTGCGTGCGCAGTTGCGGAGAAGGGGGGGGGAGCAAAAAGAGGAAATGAAACGTTCTCCGAGAAGGATCCAAGAATTGGAAATGCGATGAGTAAATAGGAAAAGAACGAAAAAGATCAGCCCACGCTTGCATAAATCCTTTTTGTGGCAAAAGCGTTTCCAGTAAGGCTATTAATAATGTGCTCTGTCCCTTTAGTCTCAAAGAAAAAAAACTATGCCTACGCAGACTGGGCGCGCCTCTTTTTCGAATCCGATGGTCCGGCCGGGAAGGCCTTCGGGCGCCACCGGATGGAAGATCCCGCCCGCTGGGGAAGATTTACGGGCATGCGGAGGTGATGGGTATGGGGAAGATTTTCTTGTATTTATGGAAAAGAGCAGGGAGTTGTGGATTAAAAAGAGTTTCTTTTGAAGACAGACACTGTTTCTCGTTCTTCTCAATTCGCCTGCCACAGTGTCGCAACTCTAACTCGATGCAGCACGTGACTGCCTTCGTGACGCCGTAAATCGAAGCAGAATTGGTTCTATTTTGCATTGAACATCTGCTAAATGAACTGTTTCTCTTGGCAAATGCCAGCTTAGTTGCTGTGCCCTAGGGAATACGTGCTGCACAAGCTGACAGCGGCAGGACCAGCGCAAGCCGACTATGTCTTGAAAACTAACCCCTGCAGTAGTTGCAAGAGTAGGATCGAGTTGTCCAGCCAATCAGAGACTACTGCGTCGGCGGTTCCGCAGTGGCTCAAATAGGCCTATTCGCTATTCCCCGCCACTACCCTACAACCCCAGGTTATTTTGCAGTGCGCGCATCAAAAGAAACATTTGGTATGTTCATTTTTCAATTTAGGACATTTTCAGATCATTGGCTAGTCGATTATACCACATCTGAGTCCTTCGTTTGGCCCTTGACGCTCCACAGCTGGCATGTCGCCAATAAGATCAAAAATTCTTAAGGGATTTACAATTTTCCACTGCAAGCATGATATCGAGTCAAACAATTCGTGAAATGAGATGTACCGGAACTTGTGGGATAACATTTAAATCTTGCAAGCGCGAGACTAATGTGTGCACCTCGGTAAATGTGTCTACGCAAACTTGGAACTTGGAGCGGCCCTTCAGCACGCACTGGCTTTTCCGCTTGCGTTCACTGCCTAAAGCAAGCCTTAGTCGCTGCTGTCGCACTGATACCCCCCGACCTGTATTGTGATGTGATTCGAACATGTGGAAACCGAAATACCTGACATCTCCAAGTCTACGTATTGCATTACCCCACCTCTTTCACTGGATACAATACTTCTACAGGTACGTTTTGTGATAGCATCTCCACGAAACAAGCGATAGTCAGTGCATACCAAAGGCCCACCTACCACCTGGGTAGCTTAATCGTGGAGCAGAGCAGCATGGTATCGGCCATGCATATGCACTCTTCTTTTTAAGCTTGTAGATCTATCTGCCAAATCGACCTGCCTGGGGATGGAGTAGCAGCAGCAATGGATCGAGCACGCACCACGATTGCGCCCGGATGCAGCAGCTGCCAAGAATAGACTTGGTGTGCCAATCTTATAGTGTACTAGCTTGCATGTAGTGACTATCAATATATTTGCATCCATAGATATGACAGTAATTGGTTGCTTTAGCCCACGTACACTCCAAGGTTAGATGCGATTCGTGATACTATGTGATTGTATGCACCGTCCGATCACGTGATGGAAATCGACTCTCTATGCCATCTCAACCAAGTTGCATTTTACAAAATCATCAAAATCACGCTCCAAAGTGCTGAACTAAAGATCCGTCAATGTCCGCGCCCTGGTGCTGACACGACAGTGATTTCACACGCATTGGTAATCCAAGATGGGTCTTCTGGATCCTTCAACACTGAAGCTTGAAAAGGGCTGTTACAAAATAGTAACAATACCCGATGTTAGGCGAACCACATCGTCGGACAACACAACCCGGCAATTGGCAAAGACAAAACAAAAAAGCAAAAAAGGACTTCTCGAAGCAATAGTGCGCTTGTCAATAAAGTCCGGAACGGGCTGCACCCCACAAGGCCCGATACTGAAGCTCCATATCAGGAAATCGTGGTAGCCCTGAGAGCGTCCGCGAATATCCACTCTTACCGCCTGCACAACGTCTTTATTAACGTCAATATCCAAAATTTGCGGCCTCACCAGCAACATCCTTTTATCCTGGTTTGATAGACACCAAACACGCGGAACAGCATCTGTCTGCATATCAGCTGCATGAGGCTGATGGTGAACCCAACTCGCTGCTTCGTTGAAACCAAAATTAAGCATTTCAATAAAGACGGCCAGGTATCTGGGTCTATTCCCACGTGGATTCGCCCATTTCAAGCTTAGCCCACGATGACACCATATCCCCTGCTCCTGGCGTCTTTACTTTTCCGACGCTTGTTTTCTTAATTCTCCTTGAGAATTTTTTTCCCCGAGCCAAGTTTGCCGTTTCAACGGCGCCGTTGCCGCATTTGCTGAGGTAAATGCCCCGTCAAGTTAGCTTGGATGGTTGCAGCAACACACAAAAGATCCTCTTTAGCCCTGGCGCATTCCATATGCATGGCGTTTTCTGCGCCCAGCCGGCAGTACAGAGCCGAAATAGCTTGTTTGTAGCTTTGATTTTTGAGATGTGGCACTCGATGGCAATTCCGCTTTTAGACCGAGCAAGCTGCTGCCCGGTTCAGATGACCCGCTGCCGTCCTCCGGGTACTAATGCCACTTCTTAGCAACAGTATGCGAACTTGCGCTTACACGAAATACGAAGGATGGATCGTCGAGGGGCCTTTGTAAGTGCTCACCTCCAACTTCTCTCCAATTAAGCATATCCTCATGTAGTTCATCGTAAAAAGCCCTTGCTATGGCGTGCTGCCCTGGTCATCCACTCTTCGGGTATTCTGTGCCGTAGAGTTGCCCGCGTTTGGCCACTGGGATCCTGTCAGTTTGTCCGTGATGGTCGGTCGTGGTGTTGCATTGGACCGACCAGAGGAACTGAGAGGCCCCGCGCTGGACGTGTATGGAGAATTTCGTTTACGTTATGTAGCATCGATCCATCGTTACATTGCTCGGATAAATAGCTCCATGTCTGCCCTCATTTATTAAGAGGCTCGCCTTCAAGTGTTGCTTTCCTTTTTTTTCACCCTACATTTTGTAGGACTTCTTGTAGGATCGCCAGGCTGCTTGTTCCGGCATAGGTCCATCAGCTTTCCACAATGGCGTCCGCTCAACTGGAGAAGCCGGGCGAGGTGGTCTCTGCCGGGCCCATCCTCACCGAAGAGCCTCTGAATCGAAAAGAGCAGTCCGAAATCCTGGGCATTGACGAAAAAGCCGGCGCCCCGTTTGATGTCGACGTCGAGTCCAAGGAGGACCTCACCAATGGCAAGGCCCAGTATACCCTCACCAACGAGAACGGCGAGGAAGAGGTTGTCGACGAAGATGACCCCAGAATCAAAGACATCCCACAATATGTGAGACGTATTGTCAGCTTCACTGACGATCCCACTGAACCGACCTTGACCTTTCGATACTTCCTTCTCACCATCCTTTTTGTCGCCCCCGGTGCCTTCCTGTCACAGATGGCCCACTTCCGAACCACCTATGCTCCCTATTCCGTCTTCTTCGTTCAGATTGCCTCCAACTACGTTGGTGTGTGGCTCGCCAAGGTCCTTCCGGCTTGGTGGATTGGAATCCCCGGAACCAAATGGGGTTTCAGCCTTAACCCGGGTCCTTTCAGCACCAAAGAACATGTCTTGATCACCATTTCTGCAGCATCTGGTGCCACTTACAACCTGGGCTATACCCCCATTGCCATGTCTGAGCTGTACTTTGGCAAGCCTGTCAACGGCGCAGTAGCCGTCTTCTTCATGCTTGGCATTACCTGGACCGGCTACTCATATGCCGCCTTGGCACGCCAGTTTCTGATCTACGATCCGCAGTACCCCTGGTTCCAGTCCATCTGCCAGGCGGCCCTGTTCGAGACCCAGAAGAAGCAGCGTGAACACCCAAACCGTGCGTCTCGCAAGCAGATGGTGGTCTTCTTCTCCGTTATGGGAGGTATCATCCTGTGGCAATTCCTGCCCGAATACGTCTTCCCTTTCCTCGGCTCCCTGGCTTTCCTTTGCTGGGTTGCGCCGCACAACAAGACGGCCAACTTTATCGGTTCTGGATTCGGTGGCATGGGATTCCTGAACTTGTCTCTTGACTGGTCCAGTATTTCCAACGGCGGCAGTCTCTTCCTGACCCCCTGGTGGACGCAGGTCATTCTTTTTGTTGCATTTGCGTTTAACTGTTGGGTCTTGCTCCCTGCTTCCAAGTTTGGTAATCTGGGAGAGTGGCGTCACAACTTGATGTCGAACCGCGTCTTTCTGCGTATGTACATGCTTATAATTCTTGCAAACTGTCATGCAAAGAAACACACAGCTAACTCGTTTCTCCAGAAAACGGAACTGCCTATCCTTTGACCGAGCTCCTAACTGCCGACTCTAAGCTCAACCACACCGCATACGAACAGTACGGAGAGTTATACGTTGGCACTCAACAGCTGTGGAGTAACTTCTTCGATATCGCCTCCTACTCCTCGGCCCTCGTTTGGATGCTGCTCTTTGGCTGGCCTCAGATCAAAGAGAGCTTCAAGAAGCTCAGAGAGCGCACGGCAGTCAAGGAGTCTGGCAAGATTACCGAGCAGTACAAGGATCAACTCAACATCTTGCAGCGACCTTATGATGAGATTCCTTGGTGGTGGTTTGGCGCCTTGTTCTTGGTCTCGTTTGTTATGCTCATCGCCATCGTCGGCAAGAACCTGATGTTTATTCCCGTGTGGACGTATTTCGTAGCCATTATCACGGGAGCTCTGGTTGTCGTGCCGCTGGGCTGGCTGTATGCTCTGTCCAACTACCAACTGGTAAGAATTTCCCGTTAATCTTGATTCACATGTACAATTTACTTACACTGTCTTTCAGCCCATCGGAACAACCAACGAGCTCTTGTACGGTGCCATGGTAAACGGCATATCTGGATTCAAGAACCCCTGTGGTGCTTCGACCTACGGAGCCATTGCGGGAGACGCCTGGTATCGTGCGCAGCTCAACCTCCAAGACATGAAGATCGGCCACTACATGCATGTTCCACCCAAGGCTGTCTTCTTTTCGCAAGTCTTCGGCTCGGCCATTGGTATCCCCATTGACTACGCAGTCATCCGATGGGTCCTCGACACCAAGAGCGAGTATCTCTCAGGCGCCAAGGAAGATCCCACCCACCAGTGGACTGGTCAGTCGCTCGCCTCATCTCTGACGTCGGGCGTCCAGTATGTGCTTGTCGGCCCCAGCCGTCTTTTCAAGCAGGACATTTACAAGCCTGTCCCCTATGGCTACCTCGTCGGCGCTGTGTGCCCCATCATCATCTTTGGTCTGCACAAGATGTTCCCTCGGGCCAAGTTCCAGCTTTGGAACACCACCATCTTCTTCTCCGCCATGTCCATCTTCTACGGCAACCTCAGCACGGGCTACACGTCCAGCTTCATCGGAGGCTTCGTGGTCATGTTCCTGGCGTTCCGATACCGCTACGACCTGTGGGCGCGGTGGAACTACATCCTGGCGGCGGCGTTTGATGCTGGCTTCAACTTCAACATGCTGCTCATCTTCCTGTGCTTTGGCGCGGGCAAGATCATTACGATGCCAAACTGGTGGGGGAATAACGCGGACAGCAGCGAGCGCTGCTTTGCACTGAGCGATGATTGATGTGTTGATGCCTAGATATGATACCTTTTGCTTAATATTTGTGTAGCGCCGTTGAATTCTTTTCAACATGGATAATCAAATGACATACCTGATTATAAGTGAAGAGTCGCTATTGTATCTGGTGATTGTATACTTGTCGCATATGTAAAGTACATATTCAAGTTTATGAACAAGCTGTTGTTCGCATGTCTGTTGTAGGCAGCATCTTTAGGTCCGTATGGCAGGCTCCGATTTTGAGCTGAAGTACCTTGGTACTGACTGGAGTAAGAGCTGGTGTAATACTGGGAGCCATGCAGTTAATACTGTCGTAGGCACTCGAGACAACCGTCTTGGTAGCGCCTCAAATCCACAAGCAAGTTGATTAAGATAATTAATTTTTTGAAACTCAGAATATTTCTTGTGATAATCTCCAAGTAGCGCCAAATACGCGCCAAGAAGACGCCTCTATGGCGCTGTCATGTGCATCAATTAATCTCTCCCGCAGCACAGCCTTATAGCGGGCTGCAGCGTCGCTTACAGGGACTCCAGACCCCCACAAGGCGGCGCTGCCCGCTGTAACCCCTCCAGTCCGTGGAGCCGTTGGATGCTGGAAGCTTTGAGTCGTCATCCGTGGAGCCATAGTGACCCATAGCGGCAGCGCCAACTGCTACTCCAGCATTCGTCCGCACCAACTCCTGCGACTGACGATGCCTTGCAAAGCATCACCACTACGATGCCCGTTCAACAGCATGTGCTGAACTGGCTATACAGCGTCCTGACAAGTGTATGTCCGCCTCCCATTTCTCGCTCTCGCTCTTTCAGATGAAGCGCCCTTGATCGTTACGCTTCATCAACCCCAGAAACACCCCGCATCTAACCTCCTCGGCAGGAATATCACGATGTCAACCGCACATACGGCGACATTGCAACGGTCCTCGCGCGGTATCCGACACTTGCTCCACGAACCGACGTCTACAGTACGACCGCGCTTCTCCTTTTTCCATCATCTTCACTGCCTCAAAGCCACAGGACTGACAATCCGACTCACAGCGTATCCCAATGGCGCAAGCTCTCTGCTAGTCCATTTGACGGGCACGATCCCGACCCTCTTCCGAGGCACCACATATAGGTTCCCCGTCTCGATATGGGTGCCGCATGCGTATCCGAGGGAGGCACCGTTGGCGTATGTCACGCCAACGGAGACCATGATGGTCCGTCCGGGTCAGCATGTTGACCCTCAAGGCCAGGTCTACCACCCATATCTGGCTGGCTGGGGCGATTTCTGGGATGTAAGTCATACTTTCCCTCCACTGCTGGACTTCATATGCTCTCGTCTGAGTTAAGTCAACAAGTAATGCTAACTTCCGTGCACAGAAATCAAGCCTAAACGACTTCCTCTCCGTCTTGAGCGATGTATTCGCAAAGGAACCGCCTGTCATCTCACGACAGTCTCGACCGGGTGTCCAGAGCCCGCCTCCTCCTCAAATGCCACCTCCCGTCGCCCCTCACCCCCCAGAGTTACCTGCCAATTCGATATCTTCTCCGGCAGGGCCGCATACAAATCAAGGAGAATCCCGACCACCACCGCCGCCTCCCAAACCTCATCAGGATACTCGCTCACCACCACCGATCCCATCACATTCCCAGCTCTCTTCTCCCAGCCCTATCAGCAGCACGGGGGTACCATCAAGATATGAATCAGCTCCGCCTCTCCCGCCCCAGACACAAGTATCTAGGCCATCATATCAGCCTCATGCTCAATCTCTCCCTCAGTACGCGAATACCCGGGGGCAAAGCCCCCAATCTCCTCAGTCACAAGGGCTACCGCAACCTCAGTCGTTAGGACCAAATGCTGGCTATTCAGGTCAATTCCATTCCCAAGGACAAGCACAGGGCCAGGGACAATGGCAGCCATCTCATCAGCAGCAATGGCAGCACCAGCAACTTCAACAACAGCCGCCTCCTCCCCAACCAAAGGCGCCGCCGCCCCCAAATCTTCTCGACGATGCACTCAACTTGGAGGTGTCATCTCATGCCATCGAAGCACCTCCTATTCCGCCGAACCCCGAAAAAGATGCTCTTCTTAGGCAGTTGGCCCAGACTCTGGCTTCTATCCGACAACGCAGCCGACAGCAGAATGAATCCAGCATGGCTGGATTGGGTGCCCAGCAGAACGCCATGCTGTCTGCAATGTCTGCCGTTCAAGCGGAAATGGGGCAACTGACTCAGCTGTCTAACATAATCAATTCCAACACTAACATCCTTCACGACGCTCTGCGAAAAGCAGATGCCGTCATTGAAGGGTCGAGGAGTCACACTGTTCCAGATATCGACGAGTTACTGGTAGCTCCTACAGTAGTGTCAAATCAGCTGTACAGAGTAGTCGCAGAGGAAAGGGCTCTGGGCGATGCCATATTCATGCTTGGCCGGGCGGTTGAGAAGGGTCGTATATCCCCTGCAGCATTTGCGAAAATGACACGATCTTTGGCAAGAGAATGGTATCTGAAGAAGGCTCTGGCACGCAAGATTGCACAGGGCATGGGCCTGATCTTACAAACATAGTTGTGATGCGTATATATCCCATGTAGTGTTACCTACCTTTTGTAGCAATCTTTATGGATACAATAGTATGATTAGAAACGCTTGAAAATTGTTCTGTTGGATAAAGTTTTGATTTGCACAAAAGTAGCTTAACAGAATTCCTAAATGCCAAATGCTAGTTATATGCTACATAATTTCTCTTTGTGAGTTCTCGCCGGTCAGATGCCATCAATTAATCACATGGGAAGAGCCAGAGGGGAAAGAAGACGGCGATGATGGCTTCGGATCGTCAAGAGCACAATCTGTGTACATACATACGTCGTAGCCCATGCATAATCAATCAAAGTTGCAACAAGTCGATAGTCGATAATGGAGGAAGAAAGAAACGATCCCGCTTATCTAATCCAATCCTGATTTCTAAAGCGCAAGTGCTGTATCGGGGCGCTAGTCTCAGCTAGTCAGTGGCTTCTGCTCTCTAAGCACGTCGCGCGCCGCAGCAACTGGCGGGATCCCTTTTGCCTTGGAAAGTTTCCATCATCACGCCTAAAAAGCTGCTGCTCTTCAACGTCGGCATCCATCGTGCGCATCGCCAGTCCCGCAAGAGCTCTTTGTGTCCAGGAGACTCTATTTGCCGGGATCGCTCGCAGATGCTGTTTGGTGACAGGCATTAGGATCGCTGCTGATTCGTCGAGAGCTTCCTTGTTCGAGCGGTCCCTCCACGGCGCGAGGACGAGGCTGCAACTCACGACAATTGCTTCGGGTCTCTTCTCAAGGGCTTGTTGGATCAAGTGCTGAAGGACAAGGCCTCTGTTCTGTTTCTTACCGATCTTGAAACGATTCTACACCGGCACCATGGCTGATTACGAAGACGATTACGACTATGAGAACTATGGGGATGAAGATGAGGGCATCACGCCCGAGGATTGCTGGACTGTGATTTCCTCCTTCTTCGAAACCAAGGGTCTTGTATCGCAGCAGACCGACTCCTTTGACGAGTTCACGCAGACGACAATCCAGGATCTCGTCAACGAATATTCCACCATCACACTCGATCAGCCCAATCCTCCTTCGCCACCTGGTCGAACGATAGCCCTTCGCCGATATGAAATCAAATTTGGAAGTGTCATGGTATCACGTCCCACTATCAGTGAGACGGATGGAACTGTGACATCTCTGCTCCCTTACGAATGCCGAGACCGTAACTTGACTTACGCCAGTCCGCTTTACATCAAGATCACCAAGAAGGTGTCTGCGGCCGTCGAGAGGGAGGTTCCGTTGCACGAGATGGACGATGCCCAGCAAGAACAGTATGCAAGGACCGGAGAAAACCCCACAAAGCTGGAATGGGAGGAGGAAGAAAATGGCGAAGACGACAATCTGGGCAAGTCTGATGACTGGAAGGACATGGTTTTCGTTGGCAAGCTGCCCATCATGGTCAAATCCAAGATTTGTCATCTGAGCCGTGAACAGGATGACAGCCTGTTCCTCGTCAACGAGTGCCCTTACGACCAAGGAGGCTACTTTGTTATCAACGGTAGTGAAAAGGTCCTCATCGCCCAAGAGCGGTCCGCCGCAAACATTGTTCAGGTCTTCAAGAAGGCCCAGCCCAGTGCCTATACCTACACTGCTGAAATCCGAAGTGCGCTGGAAAAGGGATCTCGACTCATCTCCAGCATGATGCTCAAGTTGTATGGCAAAGGAGACTCTGCGCGAGGTGGTTTTGGACAAACTATTCACACAACCCTGCCTTTTGTCAAGTCAGATCTTCCCGTTGCCATTGTTTTCCGTGCCTTGGGCGTCGTTTCTGATGAGGACATTCTGAATCACATCTGCTATGACCGAAACGACAGCCAAATGCTCGAAATGCTTCGGCCTTGCATTGAAGAAGCCTTTTGTGTTCAGGATCGAGAAGTTGCTCTTGATTTCATCGGAAAGCGAGGCAATCGTGATCAGGCCGGCCTCGGTCGTGAGAAGCGTGTTCGTGTAGCAAAGGACATTCTTCAGAAGGAGACGCTTCCCCACATTTCCCAGACTGAAGGCAGTGAGACCAGAAAGGCATTCTTCCTCGGATACATGGTGCACAAGCTGTTGCAATGCGCGCTCGGAAGACGAGAGCCCGACGACCGAGATCACTTTGGAAAGAAGCGTCTGGATTTGGCGGGTCCACTGCTGGCCAAGCTGTTCCGTGGTATCATGCGCAGAATGAATACTGAGCTGGCCAACTACCTGAGACGATGTGTTGAGGGTAACCGCCACTTCAACCTTGCTGTTGGCATCAAGCCCGGTACACTTTCCAACGGACTCAAGTACTCACTCGCCACTGGAAACTGGGGTGACCAGAAGAAGGCAATGAGCTCGACTGCGGGTGTCTCACAGGTGCTTAACCGTTACACTTTTGCTTCTACACTTTCCCATTTGCGTCGTACCAATACACCCATCGGAAGAGATGGTAAGTTGGCGAAGCCTCGACAGCTCCACAACACACACTGGGGTTTGGTGTGCCCGGCCGAGACCCCTGAAGGACAGGCTTGTGGTCTGGTCAAGAATTTGTCTCTGATGTGTTACGTCAGTGTTGGATCTCCTTCTGAGCCTTTGATCGAGTTTATGATCAACAGAGGCATGGAAGTCGTTGAGGAGTATGAGCCACTGAGGTATCCCCATGCCACAAAGATCTTTGTGAATGGTGTCTGGGTTGGAATTCATCAAGACCCAAAGCATCTGGTAAACCAAGTCTTGGATACTCGTCGCAAGTCCTATCTGCAGTACGAGGTCTCTCTGATCAGAGAAATTCGAGACCAAGAATTCAAAATCTTCTCTGATGCCGGTCGTGTTATGCGACCCGTCTTCACTGTACAGCAGGAAGATGACCCGGAAACGGGTATCAACAAGGGCCACCTGGTTTTGACCAAGGACCTCGTCAATAGACTGGCCAAAGAGCAGGCTGAGCCTCCAGAAGACCCAAGCATGAAGCTCGGATGGGAGGGGCTGATCAGGGCTGGTGCGGTGGAATATCTCGACGCCGAGGAGGAAGAAACGTCCATGATTTGCATGACACCGGAAGATCTTGAGCTTTATCGTCTTCAAAAGGCCGGCATTGCCACGGATGAAGACATAGGAGATGACCCAAATAAGCGTCTCAAGACCAAGACAAATCCGACAACTCACATGTATACGCATTGCGAGATTCACCCGAGTATGATTCTAGGTATCTGTGCTAGTATCATTCCTTTCCCCGATCACAACCAGGTATGTCAACCCGAGAAGATAATCTTTCTTCTTTGTTCATCTTTCTGTATGTTACGTTCAAAACGCTAACTGATGCTATACAGTCCCCCCGTAACACCTATCAATCCGCCATGGGTAAACAAGCCATGGGCTTCTTCTTAACCAACTATTCTCGGCGTATGGACACCATGGCAAATATCCTTTACTACCCTCAGAAACCGCTTGGCACCACTCGCTCTATGGAGTTTTTGAAATTCCGTGAGCTGCCAGCCGGACAAAACGCCATTGTAGCGATTGCTTGTTACTCTGGTTATAACCAAGAAGATTCCGTCATTATGAACCAGAGTAGTATTGACAGAGGTCTCTTCCGAAGTCTTTTCTTCCGATCATATTCAGATCAAGAGAAAAAGGTTGGCTTGAATTACACGGAAGTGTTTGAGAAGCCATTCCACCAAAACACTCTTCGTATGAAGCACGGCACATATGACAAACTGGATGAAGACGGTATTGTTGCTCCTGGTGTTCGTGTGTCAGGTGAGGATATCATCATCGGCAAGACGGCACCAATCGACGCCGAGACACAGGATCTTGGAACCAGGACGACCATGCACCAAAGACGCGATATCTCGACGCCTCTGCGAAGTACCGAGAACGGCATTGTCGACCAGGTTATCGTGACGGTGAACGCGGATAATGTCAAATATGTCAAGGTCCGTGTTCGAACGACCAAGATTCCCCAGATTGGAGACAAGTTTGCTTCTCGTCACGGTCAAAAGGGCACTATTGGTGTTACTTACCGACAGGAGGATATGCCTTTCTCAAGAGAAGGTCTCACACCAGATATCATTATCAACCCCCACGCCATTCCGTCTCGTATGACAATTGCTCACTTGATCGAGTGTCTCCTAAGTAAGGTCTCTACGTTGGAAGGTATGGAGGGTGATGCTACTCCCTTTACGGATGTCACCGTCGACTCCGTCTCAGAGCTCTTGCGAAAGCACGGCTACCAGTCTCGAGGCTTCGAGATTATGTACAACGGCCATACTGGACGCAAGCTCAGGGCACAAGTATTCTTTGGACCAACATACTACCAGCGACTCCGCCACATGGTGGACGACAAGATCCATGCCAGAGCTCGTGGTCCTGTGCAGATCATGACTCGGCAGCCAGTGGAGGGTCGTGCTCGAGATGGTGGTCTCCGATTCGGAGAGATGGAACGTGATTGTATGATTGCACACGGTGCAGCGTCCTTCCTCAAGGAGCGACTCTTTGAGGTATCGGACGCCTTCCGAGTTCACATTTGCGAGATTTGTGGACTCATGACGCCCATTGCGTACGTATTCCTGATGCTTCTCTTTTACAAACTCAGTAACACTTTTGCTAACATTTCTTTAGTAACTTATCCAAACAATCATTCGAGTGTCGACCATGCAAGAACAAGACCAAGATTGCACAGATTCACATTCCTTACGCTGCCAAGCTCTTGTTCCAGGAGCTCCAGTCAATGAACATTGCAGCTAGAATGTACACCAATCGGTCTGGTGCATCTGTCCGGTAGTTTGGCGATGGGAATTGGATTACAAATGCTGCATAATATGGTTGCCACAAGGGCTAAAAAGTTCATTTTTCGTACATCTTTTGAAGATTGGTAGAAAGTGGAAATTGCTTCAAGACAGAATGGACATGGGGGGCTTCACTCCCATTGCTACGCCAGCTACATAATTGCTGAGCGGAGAGTATGATTTGTACATGTAGATAAGAATAATACAATAAAGAAACAAAAAAGTAAGACAAACATGAATCTCTAAGCTCGCTCATCGTGATACATGATGTGAATAAATGTCTTGAAGAGGTTGCCGCTACTTTGGCGGAGCAGAATTGTTGCCCAGAGGTTCCAGTGAGTTGTGAACGTTCTGTTCAAGCTTGTACTCTGCCTCCAACTGGCGCTGCATATCAAAATCCAGCTCACGCTCTCTCTTGACGCGCTGTCGCTCCATATCGCGGACAACACCCTGGTGCATCGTCTTTTGTACAAAGATGTTGGTTAGCAGGAAACAGACGAGGTAGCTGATGAAGATGAAAGATGAAAACCATGGCGAGCGGATAGACAAAGAAAGCAAGACGTACATTTTTCTCTTCTCTTTGTCTGAAATGAACCCATGCAATCATTCCACAGGTGAAAGTGGTTGTTGTGGCGAGGGCAATTCTAGATGCTTGAGACATGGCGAGTATATTTAATTTTCTCTCTTCTCTGATGGGGAATTGAGTTGCGTGCAAGCCTTCCCGTGGAGATATGAAAAGATTGGCTCGATATTTTGGCGTGATCTGTATAAGAGGCTAATCAGAAGATGGGAAATGGGCGAGTGTGTGGATGTTTAGTCGTTGGCGAATGAAATGGCGCGAATATACGAATGAAGTTTTAGACGATAATTGCCCGTGAAGCTTATCTGTTGTGTGGGTGGCCTGGATGGGTTCGATTTAGGTAGCATTATAGAGGAGTCAAGTACCGTTGGCGGGATGCAGTAACAGTTTCAGCTTAAAAGTTTGCCGTTGCACAGTTAGTGGTGCTAGAGTGAGGTACTTTAGGAACGCACTTCTAAGGCCGAGCCCACGCCGAAAAGCTGTGACGACAACCGGCATTACCTAAGGCGGCATCCCATCTATCCTTTGCATGAAGCTGGAAGCTAAGCTCACCAGAGACATCACTGCATTCTGCGACTTTACAGCTCTGCGCCTCGAACCGATTTCCATTCCTTTTCTTCTCCTTTCTTTGTAGTTGAGCGAGTTCTTTAATATCTACCGTCAAGCCATCAATCATGGTGAGTGCGCGCGCGCATTGCTGTTGTCCAGAGGGGGGGAGTAGTAGCTTCAGGAAGCTGACGTTTATGGAAACCAGTCTGCACAGAACTCGGCGGGTATTCAGACCCTTCTCGATGTATGTATTGACGACATGCGCGCATGCATTTTTCACGACTCTTTCCATGGGATCGAAATGACGAGGAAGATCTCGGGGCGATGATGGTTCGTGGTGCTGATGCTGTTGGTAGGCTGAGAGAGAGGCATCCAAGATTGTGCAGAAGGGTATGTTGGCCCCATCCTATTCGGCCTACGTTTCTCTCCCGGGCTTTGACTGACTTTGGCTTGTGTGCATATAGCTCGAGAATGTGAGTGATGACCATTTACCGCAACCGCCACCGCAACCGCACCCGCACCCCGATCTCTCTGTTTGGCAGAGCGCAATGCGAGAATACACGAATCCGCAGCGAGAAACTGCAATTCTGACATACAAACGACGCATATAGTCCGAACCAAGCGCGTCAAGGAGGCCCGTGACGAAGCCAAGAAGGAAATCGCCGATTACAAGGCCAAGAAGGAAGACGAGTTCAAGAAGTTTGAAGCCGAGGTACGGATATACAGCCCATCAAGATCATAATAAAGAACCTGACCTAACGCATTTACCGATTATAGCACAGCAAGGGTAACGAGGCCGCCGAGCAGGAAGCTAGCAAGGAGGCCGAGAAGCAGATTGAGGTGATTAAGGAGGCCGGCAAGAAGAACCAGGATACCGTTGTGAAGAACCTGCTGCAGGCGGTGTTTGACGTTAAGCCTGTGGCTGCGTGAATTTGAAATTACGATAAAATGTGGCTGTTGCTGTTGTTGTGGGAGTGTATATTGAAGGAGAGGATAATTTGGGATTGAACTTTATGTACTAGCGGCTAGGGGGAGAATGATGATGGAAACGCTCGTACTATTTCGGTACTGATGCTATGCTCCATCAAGTTTGCACATTAACTTATATTTAAAACTACATTTTGCTCATTATTACTTGCGCTTTTCTGCTGGGGTTTTCAAATTAATCAAGGAAATCTATGAGGGTGCTCAGCATCTCGCCCATATCCTTGCTGTCTTCCTCCGTGGTATCCAACTCCTTCAACTGCTCTTTGAGCGTCTTCTGTATCGATTTAAAGTCATCGTCTGTCTCCGCTAGCAGCCGCTTAATTTTCTGATTTGCGCCGCCGTCCTCGGCGATGAGCCACGCCAGAATGACGTCGGCGAGCTGGAGGTTGAAAAGTCCGGCGTCCATCTTCCGCGAGAGCAGCTGAATCTCACGATCCTCCTCTGCGTCGCGTGAGTTGATCGACTCTAGTTGATGCGCTTCTTCGGCGGCCTTAATGCGCGTGGTATAGTCTCTATGTAGCTTTACCAGCTTTGCCGTCTTTTCGTAGTCCTTTTCGACGAATTTGGCCAGCAGGCGTATCCGCTCCGCGGATTCGGCAGGCAATAGTCGCAGCATGGAGGAGAAGATGGACAGCAGCGGCCCAATGAGGCGGTTGTCCTGCGTCTTGTTGAACAGGGTGAATGTGGTTTTCAGTCCTCCTGCCTCGACTATTCTTTGGCATATCTCGACGCTGGTGGCGCCGCCTGTCGCGTGATCCAACAGGCGTAATGACGGGTTCTTTGCCATTTTGCTCTCCTTGACCATGATGAGACAGAGCTCGGTTCCTTCAGCTTCGAGGAACTTGGCTCTCCCGGCAGCAATGTCAACGAGACATGTAAGGCTTTCGAATAAATTCTCAACAAATTCCTCCTCCGGGCTTCCCTTTTCTGGATCTCGCCGACGATAGGGAGCTACTAGCTGGAGCATAGTGTCGATGATGTCTAGGCCGATGAGCTTTTCGCAGTTTTCGGGCGCTGTCTGGGCGAGGATGGCCAGGATCTCTGCAGCATACTGCTTGTTCTGGGTCACTGGCGATTCGGTGCGCTGAATGCGCTGCAGCAGCCACTTTAGCAGGGCATCCTCCTCGCACATTCGCGTGGTGACGGCTTTCTGGGAGCTGAGGTTTTCTAACACGCTGAGAGAGTGATAGACGCCTGTGCGGTCGGACTCGTCGTCTTCGTTGAAGCGAGTCAAGTTGGAGACTAGCAGACCAAACAGGTCGCTGTCAATTAATGCGCCAACTAACGTGTCCCATTGCTCAGTCTCCGTAACAACATCATCGTCTGTGAGCTCTCCAATAATCTCAATTGCATCAATCGCAATGTCTGTATTCTCGTGCGTCAGCAGGCTGACCAAGCTGCCCGCGCTCCCCAGCTTGACAAACTCCTCGTACAGCTCCGAAGACTCAGCAAGCAGAGAGAGGTTCTTGATTTCGGCATCGAGGTCGGCTTCGCTGTCGATGAATTTGTGCGGCTCGTCCTCGAACCTGGCGCGCAGCTCCGAATTCTTGGTGATGAGCTTCTCGAGGTTGAGCGCCGTTCTTCTAAGCCAGGCGCTGTCTATCTTGCCCAGTTCGCCGCCCGCTTCGGCCTTGTCGACGAAATCGAGAATCTCGGATTCTTGTTTGGAGATGCCGCCACCGAAGAAGCGGCCTTCTTCGTCATCGCCGGCGTCGTCTTCTGGTGGCAATTCAGGACCGAATTCGTCGTCCTCGGCGGGATTCTCTTCTACTTCGTCTTCGACTTGGGCATGGCGATTGGCGGTGCGATCGCTCAGTTTGGTGGCTTTGTAAATTTCATCTGAAAAGTGTAGCCAATTGGTTAGCATCAAACCAACTATAGTGCTAGAGTATATTCTTGTCAATGCATCGTGATGCCATCTCGTGTTCTCACTTACTGGGGTCGCGAATTGGCTGCTCAAGTTTTCGCTTGCTGGTGGAGCCTGATGCCTGAGAGCAGGTAATTAGCAACAATACACGTGGCAATGCGATAATCCCAACGATCATATTCTTTCCCATACCTTGAAAATGTCATCAACGCTCGCCATTGTGTCTATTCAAGAGCTCTCGTGGTGATATCTATCGAGTTGTAGCTGCTATGCACACTAAGCTTCTAGCATCATAGGCACATGGAGCTCTGGCGCCTTTATCGCGGCCCCTGTCCTTCAGTTACGGCACTCGCGGGGCGATAAGGTTCTACTCCGGATTTGCGCTCTACAGAGGCATTGATCCGCTAACGGGGCCCCAACTCCCATATGGGCTAGTTCATGCCATGCCAGACATTCAAAGATGCATTGGCCAATTAGAATGCCTGACAGCCTGGCATTTCCTACTTTGGCCCAAATACGCACTAGTATACTGGTACCCGTCCGTTTGGAGCAGCACAGCGGCCAGGGGTTGGAAAAGGGGACGAGACGCTGTGGGTTAGGGGTCGGTTTTAAGGGCTCCATGCAGCGGCATTGGCCTGCGATTTTGGCACTAGGCGACAAGCTGCTGGGACAGGCGCCTCTTAGCCTCAAGCGAGAAACTCCAGACGGCCGATGGTCTCTATCAGGGGGGGCAGCTATTGTGGCCTGGCAGCGGCGGGCCTGACAGCGGTAATATCGTGTGGTAGCACCACATGGTTGCGGCGGTGAGCGCTGTGCTGTGATCAGCGGTGCATGCCAGGCGCTGTGGGCGCTGTGGGCGGCTTCTGATCCTCGCCAGCGCCAGGCACACGTACCGGTACTTGAGGGTGCGCCGGTGCTTCGCAGCAGAAGCAACTCCCAGCCTGGCCTCTCTCCCCACGATCCACCGGCTAGGGAACGTCCATCCAAATCCCCGATTTTCTCGACTCTTGTCTGGGTACGTGCAGACGGGATTTGCAGCAGCTGCGTTGGGATGCGGCCGATCTGAGCGTTCTTTCTGTGTCTCTTCCTCTCATAGTAATTCCGCCGCGAATCGAATCTGGCCTCCAGCTCGAGTTCGCTAAAACAAAACATCAAGTCCGGATCTTGCTTGTGGTCATGGCTATCTGCCGCACAAGCGCGATATCCAGGCCTGCACATCTCCACGACCCACGTTGTACGAGTAAGATTGGGCCCGGACGAGGCGACTATTGGCTGACACAGGAGCCTGCTCCCAATCCAGCACTTTGCAGAGCATGCAGCAGTCGCATCCCTTTGACGATAACATCCTCTCCCGCCGAGCAACTCGCGCTGCTCCCATAGAACCCTCGTCGCCGCCGCCGCCACCGCCGCAGGCGTCGTCACGAGAGGCTCCCGGCATCGAGGCCGTGCTGTCGAGCCCCAAGACGCCCGTTCTGCGCTCCGTCTTCTCGTCTGCCCGCCTGCCGCGAAGCTCGTCGCTGATCCCGCCGCTGCACGGCTCGCCGCCCAGCGCCAGCACTGCTGCTGCTATTAATACTGGCTCGCCGCCTCACCACGCAAACGCCAACCAGCAGACGCATCGCGGTCCCGTGCACCCCCCCGTCAGCCTCAAGCGGCCGTCAACACCGTCGTCACAGCTCAACAGGGGCGCCAGCTCCGGAACGTCGCCGCAGGAAGCCTCTCGGACCCGCAACCGCTGGTCGACGTCGTCCATCTCGTCTGCGTCCAGTCGCACGTCTCCTTATGCCTCTCGCCAGGCCTCGATATCGAACTCTCGTATCCGTCGCGCCAGCCTTGAAGCAGCTCTCCCCCCCCCATCGGTTCCTCCTCCTCCTCTCCCACCCGCCCAGGCACCTCCTCGCAAACCGTCTTACACGGGCCAAAGCCGTTTCAACTCTTCAGACAGCGGCGCGACTCCCACTTCGGCACATCCAATGAGGTCGGAGTCGAGCATGTCCATGAGGCATTACGAGAACGGCCAGCTACGCTCTGTATCGCCCAATCCCTACGCAAACCCTACCACCACTACATCGACCACCGCCAGGATGCCGCATGAACATAGCCACGACCCATACGCCCCTAGGGGCCACTCAAGGGACCATTCTGGGAAAAGCAGCAGAGACTTGGGCAAGCCCCGCGCTCAGAAGAACCCTTCTCAAAAAGCAATGCTCTCTCGTGCGCTGCAAAAGGCCAACACTGCAGTACAGCTTGACAATGCTCAGAATTTCGAGGGCGCTCGAGAATCGTATGCCGAGGCCTGTGATTTGTTACAACAGGTGCTGGACCGAACTTCTGGAGATGAGGATAAGCGGAAGCTTGAAACAATTGTAGGTTTTGAACCATTGGGTTGAAGGAAGAACAAGAAGATGATGAAGAGGAGAGAAAGATTAGGCATAGGCCATCATGTACTTGAGCTAATGATATATATCCAGCGCCAAACTTACACCAGCCGTATCGACGAGCTGGATCAAATGGGCCCTTGGCAAGACGAAAATGTCAAGGCTCTACCCGCCCGCCCAGAAAGCGAGGATTACAGCGCGTCTTTATACATGCATCAGGACTATGAGATGATGGAAGAGGCTCCCAGAGTTGAAACGGCAAGAGTTATCAGTATTATTGGAGATGGTAGTTCCCCGGTTGCGAATCAGTGGCAGCAAGATTATACAACAACAGACAGGCCCACTCGCACTTTGGAACCAGGGATGTTGCAGTCCTCATTCTCTCGATCTCCTCGGCGACTTCGCTCTACAGATAATCTCCGGGCACAGAGTCAACAAGAGGCTTTGTATGCGCCGCCGCCCCTATCACCTCGTTCACCGTCGCCAATGAAGATGCGTCCGGAGGAGTACACCGAGATGGCACACGAGCATCACGAACCTCATCACCAAAACTACCACCAGCGACAGCCTAGCGACTCCGTCCTGCCTTATGACATGCAAGATTTCACAGAAGGAACCCAGAATTCATGGTTGGATCCAATTGATGAATCAGGTGCCTCAACTGTTTCATCTGTACATTCGCGTACATCATCGCTAGGCTACCGCCGACGCCATATTAGGGCTGCCAGCGGTAACACGGAGGCTGAATTCGACACAGCGCTGGACGCTGCTATCGAAGCTGCATATGACGACGGTTTCGAGCCTATGGAACCTGAAGATTATGATACCATAGACCCTAGTGAAGACGCCGTCGCAAGCGTAATGCAAAGGGTAGAGAAGGCACGGGAACAAGTTAGACAGACTGAACAGGAAGCATATGATGACCTAGCGATGCTACGACAAGCGCATCAGCAGAATCAACAGCACCTCCAAGAAGAAGAGGATAAATATACACCAGACGGATTCTACGAGGATGACTCTTCAGAAGATGAAGAGAGGTTACTGGACGAGATAACCCGCGACTTTGCAATTGAAGATTTTACCATGGCGCAGCCGCAGTCGAACACCGCAACGGTGTCGGCCAGCCAGCAGGAAGCATGGAATGAAGATGAGACAAGGCCAGACTTTATATCAGGCGTTCGATCGTTTTCTGCTCTTTCTCAGAGACCGCCAATCCCCCAAACCTCAAACTTGATGCAACCGGCAGCGCCACCTCCAACTACAACATTACCGGAAGTACCAAAAGGCTCTAATTCTCCATCCCATGGCGTGCGAAACCGCCGAATGTCTGGGCAGAATCCAAAGCAGCTCAAGATTGAAACCAAGAATCTCGGGCAGTCAAATACCAGAACAGTGTATGACGACGACGAAATATCCCCAAGCACGGTGGACAGGGACTTGGTAGAAGCGTTGGTTCGAGGAGCCAGCGCCCAACCCGTAAAGCAACATAACGCGGCAGAAAACGAGTCAAAGATTCCTGGGTCACCAGGTGCTAAAAAGAGGCTGATAGATGGAGAAGATGTGACCGCAGCTAATGCGTCGCCTTCCGTCCACAGACTAAAGAAGAATTTCTCATCTTCCAGCTTGCGAAGCATGAAGAATCGAAACATGTCAGTGTCACATCTCGACGATAACTCGGACGTATCACCTGGCACCCCCATGGGCAACGGTAATCCCTTCAAGGCGCCTGCTGTGCCTGCGCTGCCGACGCCACTAATTACTTCATTCAGGGACAATACGGAGGCTGGCGGTGGTGCTGGGCTCCATCTGTTTGATGACAATTTCCATGTGGCAGCCACTCCCGGTCCCCAGAGTCCGGTGGTATCAATGGAAGTTCCTGCGCCTCTGGAGCCTTGTCCTAATGATTTCATGCTACGACCGTTTTGGCTGATGCGATGTCTCTACCAAACATTGGTGCACCCCAAGGGTGGCTATGTCAGCACGAAACTGTTCGTGCCGCGGGATGTCTGGCGGGTGAAAGGGGTCAAGATTAAGAACGTTGAAGACAAAGTTGCAAATTGCGATTTCCTCACTGCGGCGCTGCTGAAGCTGGCCAAGGTTGACACGTTTGATGCGGACGCCGTATTGGAAGAGATGCAGTCCTTGGAGGGTGTTCTTGAACAGGTCCAATCGTCTCTTGCCCGGAAGCTTGGGAGCGAAGTTGGAGTTTCAGGCGGCCATATCTTCAAAGATGCCTCCGTGGACGGAGAGGGAGGCTCAAATGTACCACGTTCGGGCAGTGTGTCTGGGAAAGCATCCGCATTTTCATGGCGAAGACTTCGACCGAAGACATCGGGCGTTGCGTTGGGCGGATCATATAGCAACCGTAGTGCCAGTATGGAGACCAAAGAGGTGACGACGCTGGCGACTCTTCCCATGACGCCGAAGCCGACCAGCCGTCCGCCCAAGCGAGATGTCAGCCAGGCTCAGTTTATCGGCCCCAACGCGATGTATATGGGCTCACTAGCCCGTTTATTTGATGCTGCGCAGGCAATTGGTAAGTTGGCAACATGCTCACACCTTTATCTTTGTTGGAGATGATAACCAGATGGCTAATTTGAGACGTATAGATCAAATCGCAAGACAAGTTGAAGACCCCGGCCTGCGACATGCAGACAAAACCCAAGTCGGCTTGGAGCTTTGCACACGCCACGCAGCCGAATTCTTTGGCTTCTACATCTGTCGGTTTGTCCTCGCCGATCTTGGCCTACTTTTAGACAAGTTTCTCAAGAGAGGAAGCGAATGGGTTCTTACATAAGAGGGCAAAAGAACAAAGAGAAAGAGTTGCTGTGTTTTTATACAATGTGATACCTTACGATCAAGAGACGGAAATAATTAATCTGGAACTTAGAATAATGTTCATGACTGGACGATTATATATATACCTATATATAGTAATGGCAGCTGTGTGGTGCAGTGCCCATATATGACACAAGGTCGCGTTTCGAGCCTCTGCTTGCGAGAGATATGAGTGGGCTCTTCATGATTCCTGCATGTACATGTATATATAAACTACGGGTGCGGCTTTCAGATACAAGGCAATGGATGAAACATCCTGACCACCGCAAACCAAGTGACAAGAGGAAGAAATTCGACGTTTAGAATTATTTTTATGATTTGAGATTCTACTTGTCCGCTGTAGCATCATGCCATGCCATTAGCTGATGTTGCTCTTAGGAGGGGCCGTCATCGCAAGTGCGGAACTAATCCGCCCCAAAGAGGAAAATTCACCTACCAAAACCTCCACAGCTTCGAGACCCTCCAACTCTCTAAACGCTGCAGTTTTCCGCCAAAAGCCACAACGACATCGCACAGTCGTTGCTCAATGCAAGCTTTGTCGATGCCCAGATGAGCCTGGCTGGGAGAGCTGGACGAGCCTGGACTCGACAATGGCCGACGCCGCCGCGGAGTCGGGCGCTCGGCTGGACTAGCAGCTACAACAGCTACAATATCGCTATCAAGCTGTCAAGTCGACATCGCGGGTATGCCTCGCAGGCCAAACCGACGCCTGCACAGCTCGAAGCGCGGATTGCGGCGATTCCGATTGAGCGATATCGAAACTTTTGCATCGTGGCGCATATTGACCATGGCAAGAGCACGCTGAGCGATCGGCTGCTGGAGCTGACGGGAACGATCTCGGCGAGCGATGCGAACAAGCAGATTCTCGTGAGCTATTTGATATCTTCTGCTCTTCTCACAGCATAAGCTAAACGGTTGGTAGGACAAACTCGACGTCGAGCGCGAGCGCGGCATCACGGTCAAGGCCCAGACATGCACCATGATCTACAAGCACGACGGCCTCGACTACCTGCTGCATCTCGTCGACACCCCCGGCCACGTTGACTTCCGCGCCGAAGTCACCCGCTCCTACGCCAGCTGCGGCGGCGCCCTGCTGCTCATTGACGCCAGCCAGGGCATCCAGGCGCAGACCGTGTCCAACTTCCACCTCGCGTTTGCGCAGGACCTGGCGCTGGTGCCCGTCATAAACAAGATTGATATGCCGTCGGCGGATGTGCCCCGCGTGTTGGACCAGATGGAGACGAGCTTTGAGTTGGATCCCAAGAAGGCGATTATGGTGAGCGCGAAGACGGGTAAGGGCGTTGCGAATCTTTTGCCGGCGGTGGTGGAGGGGATTCCGCACCCTATTGGCGATGAGAATAAGCCGCTGAAAATGCTTTTGGTTGATTCTTGGTATGATACGTTCAAGGGCGTGGTTCTTCTGGTGAGACTGTTTGATGGAACGATCAAGTCTGGCGACAACGTGATATCCTTGGGTACGGGCATGAAGTATACCGTCGGCCAGGTTGGCATTCAATACCCCAACGCAACACCACAGTCGGTTCTGCGTGCGGGCCAAGTCGGCTACGTATACTTTAACCCGGGCATGAAGAGGATTCAAGACGCCAAGCTGGGAGACACTTTCACCACAGTCGGTGAAGAAGAAACCCTCGAGCCGTGCCCGGGCTTCGAAGAACCGAAGCCCATGGTATTCGTTGCCGCTTTTCCCACCGACCAGAGCGACTACCACCGTCTTGCTGATAGTATCAACCAACTTGTTCTCAACGACCGCAGCGTGACGCTGCAAAAGGACTTTTCAGAAGCGCTTGGTTCTGGATGGCGTCTTGGATTCTTGGGCAGTCTTCACTGCTCCGTCTTTCAGGACCGCCTGAGGCAGGAGCACGGCCGTAACATTATCATCACGGAGCCTACTGTGCCGACGAAGATTGTGTACGCGGACGAGTCGGAAGAGGTTGTGCAGAACCCGGCTTTGTTTCCTGATATGAGCGATCATAATATTAGATCTGCAACCTTGTTCGAACCGTGAGTATAAACGAGCAGTCACAAAACATCTTTACCTCTGAGTGGTTTGACTAACTTTATGTTGATAGCTTTGTCAAGGCGACAATTACGGTTCCTGAGGAGTACCTCGGCCGAGTCATTGAGCTCTGCGAAGGCAACCGTGGTGAGCAGCAGAGCTTGGAGTTTTTCCACACGGACCAGGTTATCCTGACGTACGATATTCCTGCCTCGCAGCTTGTTGATGACTTGTTTGGAAAACTCAAAGGCGTGTCGTAAGTTTTGTTTTAGCTCACAGAAGTATCATGTTAGAACCTGGGTATACTGACCTGTGGATTATAGAAAGGGCTATGCAACTCTTGATTACGAAGATGCTGGGTGGCGGCAGAGCAAGCTTGTGAAGCTGCAGCTGCTTGTCAATAGACAGCCTGTGGATGCTATTTGCCGAGTTGTGCATTCGACGCAGGTAGAGCGTCTGGGCCGGCAGTGGGTCACCAAATTCAAGGAACACGTCGATCGGCAAATGTTTGAGGTCGTCATTCAAGCTATCGTGGGCAACAAGGTGATTGCCCGAGAAACCATCAAGCCATTCCGAAAAGATGTGCTGGCGAAACTGCATGCCAGTGATATCACCAGACGGAGAAAACTACTGGAGAAGCAAAAGGAGGGAAGGAAGAGGCTTAGAGCGGTGGGCAATGTGATTATCGACCAGTCGGCATTTCAGAGTTTCTTGTCAAAATAATGACAGCGTCTTATGTCAGTGTATATATAAATTCTATAAATCAAGATACAATCGACCGTCTACATATAGAGTACAGATTTACCAATGCCATCTCCAATCATACAATCTCATCAAGAATTCTCCACCTTCTCACTACGGCTTCCTTTGTTGTCTTCAAAATCACCCGGAAGCTCATATCCCACCTCAACCCTCTTCGGCCACGACCACCCCATACCCCCCTCCAGCGTCGACTGATCCATCCTCAACGGCACCAGCGCCCCATCCTTGCCCTCATCATCAAAGTCAAAAATCCGATAATCCGCATTAAAGTACCACCAGCTCGTCACGGCCGTCCTCATAAACGCCGAGTGCGAAAAAACAAAAATCAGATCCTCGGGTCTCTTGCGGAGCTTTTCGAGGGCGCGCCGGGCTCGTGCTAGGATGGCAGTGCGGGTGTAGCCAAAGAGGCTGCGGGCCGCGGGGGAAGAAGTCTTATCCGGCCAGAGGGGGTGGACGGCGGAGAAGTCGAACGAGGGGGAGGTGAATTGGATGCGGGTGTGGTTGTCTTTGATGAGGACGAGGTGGGAGGGGGGAGAGCCGGTGTCGCAGGGTTTGTCCGAGTTTTCTGTTTGTTTGGGTTTGTAAGCGAGATGTGAATGAAGTGCGTGAGAGTGTATGAGAGTAAGTTATAGTAGTCAATAGAGAAATAAAGACATAATGATACATCTCAGCTATGAGGCAATAGCTTGAGAAAATGCATAATGTCTTTGAAGATGATGCTTTTTTAGAGAATGGTATAAGTCAACGTACCCTGCCAATCTGCATCCGCCTCAATCATAATTCCTCTTTCAACCAGCCAATCCGCTGCCAAACTCGCCGTCTGCAGCGTCCGCAACATCGGGCTCGCAACAATGGCAATTCTGCCCTCGAACGACGAGAAGCGCTGGACGAGGTTCTGGCGGAGCTGTGCGCATTGCTGGAGGCCAAGGTCGGTGAGGCGAGGGTCGGGGATGAAATGGTCCTGTGGGATATGGATATGAATATGCTTGTTTTTAAGGATAATTTTGTGTTAATCGGGGTACTTATTGGCTTCGTTGTGGAGGGCCTGGGCGTGGCGGATGAGGACGATTGTGGGAGGCATGGCTGGTTGTGGTGGTTGTGATGGTTGTGAATATTGAGGTTTGTGGTGTTGATGGATGTAAGTGAGTCAGTTGAGTGAGTCAATGAGTGAGTGACAGTGCGACAATGGGTAGACACAAGGTTTGATGCCGATCAGGTAATCAAGATTTAGTTTGCTTAGTGCAGTGTCCTCCCTGGCAGTCTATATATGTTTCAATCGACTATGCAACTTGTCTTGTTCTTAACATCATCGTCTTCGCATCATTGGAGGAATTCAGGATACTCCAAGTCGAAAAACCATTGTACCAGGCAGGTACCCGTGAAGTTCGTCCGTTTACTGTCCCGCCATCTCTTTCCCGCGTCTCTTCGTACTGGTACGTGACAGGCACCAAGCCAACTCAACAGTGAGCCTTAGCGGCCCAGAAAAGCGGAAGCATCCGCATACCTAATAGTGGCCTTCTGGATCTGCTAACCTTCAACTTGTTTCCCAACTGCCATGTCCGAAGTCGACAGGTACATGTAAATGAGATATAGTTTATTTGGCGTATTCTACAATATCTTGAGTACACTGTAGTGGAAACCGCGAATTGGACGCCGTTGAATCATTACTGGCAGCCTGTGATGAGCAACTACATGTAGATTATAATCAATGCTGCTTTACATGATCAGTCACCGAGGATGATGGCGTATTCCGCTCTTACGGGCGCAAACTGAAATTCGCATTGCGTGTTATACAATCCTTGAGCAAAGGACCATCCCATCCAGCTGAGCGTCAGGTAATCGCGGAATTGGCTGGGCGGGGCTTGCAGCCTGATAATTGGCTGCTTCCTTGATTCCCCGCATGATGTTTGCAGAATAGCTTCACCAGCCCATCTTGCTTTGGGCATCGAACTTTCTGAACTGTCCAAGTCTTCGGATGAAGCAAATGCCGATGATTTTGTTTCGCATTCTGCAAACGAACTCCAAATTTCCAAATGTCAGCATGAGATTGGGCCATCATGTCGCAGCGACCATCCCGCCGCGAAGACTTCGAAATCGCCATCATTTGCGCGCTGCCGCTTGAATACGATGCGGTTTCCCTCCTTTTCGACGAGTTCTGGGATGAAGACGGGGATCAGTTTGGAAGAGCGGCCGGAGACTTAAATCACTACACAACCGGCCGCATTGGCAAACATGATGTCGTGCTTGCTCTTCTTTCCCACAAGGGAAAGGCCAACGCAGCCTCCGCCGCTGCTAACATGCGGTCCAGCTACGGAGCCCTCAGACTCGTCATCCTAGCAGGGATATGTGGTGGCGTGCCTCGTAATGGCGAAGATGATGTCTTTCTAGGAGACGTGGTTATCAGCAGCTCCGTCATTCAATACGATTTCGGCAGACACTACCCCGATGGGTTTATACGCAAGAATACACATGAAGATAATTTACGCAAACATGACAAGAACATTGGCAGCCTTCTTAGCAAGTTCAGTACAGATATCGTTCAGGATAAGCTTCACGAAAGAACTGCTCATTGTCTCAAACAGCTTCAAGAAAGGGCTCCAAAGCATCGAGAAAAGTATACATATCCTGGGGCGGATAAAGACAAGCTATTCGAGTCAAGCTATCGTCATATGCACCGCGAGCGAGCAACATGCATCTGCAGCAGCTGCCATGGAAGAAAGCATCCAGTTTGTGATGAAGCCCTTACTGCCTCGTGTGATGATTTGGGATGCGATGAAGAATATCTGGAGAGAAGCCGAACTAACAAAGAGCAAGACGAGGCACAGGGGCCTGCTCTTTATATTGGCGCAGTTGCATCTGGCGACACCGTCATGAAGTCTGGAGAAGACCGTGACAAGATAGCCAGAAAAGAAGGCGTGATTGCGTTTGAGACGGAGGGAGCTGGAGCATGGGAGGATTTGCCATGTATTGTGGTCAAAGGTATATGCGACTATGCCGATTGTCACAAGAACAAGCTATGGCAGAATTTCGCCGCAGCGGCAGCGGCTTCTGTATCAAAGGCGATTCTTGAACAGTACATTCAAACGGATAGGAACAGTGGCCGGCTTGAAAAAGGACCACCAAAGAGTCATTTTCTCGTCCCATTTGGGCGAAACCGCAACTTTGTTGGGAGGGAAGACATTTTATCAAGCCTTCTGGAAAAGATCCGGCCGGGTGCGGACAAGGAAGACTGCCAACGAACCGTTATTGAAGGCCTCGGCGGCGTTGGAAAGACACAGATTGCGCTGGAGGCTGTCTATAGACTCCATAACGAGCATCCAGACTGCTCTATTTTTTGGGTGCCGATGGTAGACGCAACTGGCTTTGACAATGCCTACCTCAGTATTGGCAAGCAGCTAAAGATCGAGGGTATCGACAAGGATAACGCTAATACTATGCTACTTGTCAAAGCTGCCCTGAGTAAAGAGAGCAGTGGCAGTTGGCTCTTAGTTATTGATAACGCGGACGATATAACGCTGCTCTCTGGAGATATCGGACTCTCAGCCCATCTTCCATTCAGTCGAAATGGTTCCATTTTATTCACTACACGTAATCATGAAGCAGCAGTAATGCTGGATATTCTCGCGGAGAACATTTTTAATGTCATGGAAATGGGCCAGGTCGAAGCCCTTGGTTTACTGCAGAAAGGCCTAAATGAGAGCCAGACGAATAATATGGAGGCCACGGAGAAGCTACTTGATCTTCTGGCAAACTTGCCGCTTGCTATTAGGCAGGCATCGGCATATATGGCAACAAAACGCATATCAACTATAGACTACTTGGAACTCTGCCAGTCAAATTCCAAGGATATGGTTACCTTACTGAGTAAAGATTTTGAGGATAGGCATCGATACAAAGAGATTCAAAATCCAGTGGCTACGACATGGCTTATCTCATTCAACCAAATCTTACGCAATGACCCACTGGCGGCACAATACCTTCAGTTCATGAGCATCTTGGCGGAGAAAGATATACCCAGGTCCCTTTTACCCAAATCCACGAAACTGGAGACTGTGGGGGCAATTGGTACATTAAAGGGATATGCCTTCATTACTGAGCAGGAGGGAGGAGGTTCGTTTGATATGCACCGCCTTGTGCGATTAGCTATGCGAAACTGGCTAGAAAAAGAAGGGGAGCTAAAGAAGAGCGTCGCGTCTGCGGTTCAGCGGGTTAACGAAGTGATGCCGTTTCCAGAGTATGAGACTAGAGATTTATGGACGAGATGTCTACCACACGCACAGGCCATCCTGGAGCTTCCAGAACATCTGACAGGCACGCAAGCAGAAGCTACACTTTATTCCAATGTTGCTGAGTGCAATTATCTTCTAGGGAAATACCAGACAGCTGAGAAGATGTATCGACAGGTGCTCGAGCTTGATGAGAAGCTGCTTGGCAAATGCCATCCAACCACACTAATAAGCATGAATGATCTCGGAATGGTGCTTAGGCTTTCAGGCAAATACAAAGAAGCAGAGAAAGTTTCTCGGCACGTACTTGAAAGTAGGGAGAAGCTGCTTGGCAAAGACCATCTGGACACACTTGATTCTATGGTGGATCTTGCAATTACATTAAGTAAGCTAGGACAGCATGAGGAGGCAGCGAACCTGCATCAACACGTGCTTGAGATGCGGCAGAAGTTGCTTGGCATGGATCATCCAAAAACACTTCGGAGTATGGATGGATTTGCAGGCCAGCTTACACATCTAGGCAAATACGAAGAGTCGGAGAAAATGCATCGACAGACATTGCAATTAATTGAACAAAGGCTTGGGAAAGACAATCTAGATTTTATATGGTGCCTGGAAAACCTTGGGTCTGTGCTTGGACATCTAAGCAAATATGAGGAGTCAAAGGACATGTATCAACAAGTACTTAATCAATATGAACAGAGGTATGGTAAAGATCATCCATATACACTTAGAAGTATGGATAACTTGGCAGGTGCGCTTGGACGTCTAGGTAAATATGAAGAATCAGAGGAAATGCATCGTGAGGCATTTAAGGGGAAGGAAAAGGTGCTTGGTAGATATCATCCATCTACACTGAAAAGCATGGATAACTTGGCAATTGCGCTCGAAGATCTGGGAAATTATGAGAAGTCAGAAGAATTGCATCGAGAGGCAATCAGGCGAAAAGAGGAGGCATTTGGTAAAGATGATCCAGAAACACTGGAAAGCATGCATAACTTGGCAATTGCGCTTGGAGATCTAGGTAAATATGAAGAATCAGAGGAAATGCATCGTGAGGCATTTAAGGGGAAGGAAAAGGTGCTTGGTAGATATCATCCATCTACACTGAACAGCATGTATACCTTAGCAATTGCGCTCGAAGATCTGGGAAAATATGAGAAGTCAGAAGAATTGTATCGGGAGGTAATTAGGCAAAAAGAGGAGGCATTTGGTAAAGATGATCCAGAAACCCAAAGAATTCGGGATGATCTTCGCAAGCTGCTTGAGAGCAAGAGAAAATAGATTAGATGTAGCTTTATCATGTACACTGACTGTTAGCGAAGTTCAATTATAGAGTTGCGTTATTAAATGTGCGATGTTTATATTTATTATTGCAGATTGCTATCTTCTTCTGAAGTATCCTCTTCCCGTAATCACTTATTGCTAAGACCATGTATAGTTAATCGATAAAATTTTGCCATTTATAACATTGCATAGCAAAATGCCATCTATAGACACAATGACGATAGTCTCGGCCGTGTATTTTGCTCTTGCTCTTCTTCGTTTGATTATGCCTATTGTTAGTATAGAACTTGCGTAATTTGGACGCTTGGGTCGACTTCTGGATTAGTACTAAGCAATGCCAAGACTCGAAAACCAAGATGATGGTCTAGAGGATCATGACGCTCAAGTCAAACGAACCTTGTTATTCAAACAATAGCACACCTGTATAGCAGTATTTGACGAGGTGCGACTAAGCAAATAGATCTGAAACGGCCCGTCAAAATAACATTGTATGCCGGCATTTAGCCCTTGCGATAGCTCATGTAGCGAACATACTGAGCCGCTTGAGCTGGTGATTGAGATAGGAGTCGGTGTTATACTGGCCCAGTGTTGCATTATTTGGCTTGAACGATGCAAATGGCTGTCATGAAATTGAATAACTGTAAAGGTAGGTAATAAGATCTCATGATGCAGGTAGACCTGCGCAGTACCATACACCAAGATGTCACTGACACTACCTTGTTAGCATTTTTATGGAACCTCCAGCTGTTATAAGTCAACTATGTGGCCATTAATATCTCAGAAAGGCGGCTTAAAACACAATACTCAGCATCCAACTTGCTTTGAAGGGCTCAACGAAATGTATTCTTTATGGCAGTAGCACCTATAATTTCTCAGGGCTAAGCCCTATTCTAGAATAATACCAATATCAGAATGATCGAAAGATTGGTACAATATTTGTTACAAGTGGTAAGAGATATCATTTGTTTTCATGTTGTATGTCAGCCCGCTGTATTTGCTATTCAAATGAACGTAAAGAAAAATATGAAGGCCTTGTTGTAACTGATGAAAGGCTGTAGTCAACCGCTGTGCTTTGGTCTTTGCTGATTTTACATCAGACTCGAAGCTAGTAGGTATCAATGGCCTGTCGTTGTTGTTACAGACGAGATGAAATGTCGTTGCACAAACTAACTGCTTCACTCAAAAGATGGACCACATTTTTTTCTAGCAGTTTCAATTGTACTGTTGATACCTGTTTTGGCGATATATTGGAAGACATCTTGACTGGTTCGGTGTTGGGAGGTTTGTATGTTTCCTAATGGGGTAAACGTTCCAACTGTCTCGTACGGACAGAATACTCCGCCTGGAGAATGGATTTCTTCAATCAATATAGGCTCATTGAGACTAGAAGTCTACTAGAAGCGGGATCTGAATCCAGCCATGTCTGTATTAGGCTGGCTACGGGTTATCGCCGCTGTAGGACCTCCGGCAACATCACGTCTTGCTTTCTTATTCCTATGCGAAGAATTCGCCTTTTTACCCCAATTGAGCCCGTCGGCAACGAGCTACCGATACAACGTGTCCCGAGCTTAATAATTGTCCAGACATGTGCCAATATTAATGACCTACGAACATTCTCATTTTGTATTGCAGCTGCGGTCATATCAAGGCCGCTCCTTAGATGACGCCATTGGGAAATAGTCTAGTGATCGCATGTCCTCTTGCAAATGATATACTAGACGAGTGCAGATAGAGATTCAGGCTATTAAAGGCATGATTATCACTAATTAACTGGCAAGTCATCATCCAGCTGCAAGTCCCCAGCTGAAAGTTCAGTCTCTATAGCGAGACCTGCGCGAGTCGTGAGATGAGCCGATGTTCTTCATCTGGGATCCTTTGTCATGAAGCAGGAAGATTGAATAAGGAAAACAGGCTTCGAATTCTTCTCAAGCTACGACTTAGGCGCCAAGTCATACATACCTATCTATATATCTATATGTGGCACAAACGAGACCTCCCCCCCTTCGTGGACTAGGCAGATGTCCCTCGATACATTTGTCGTCGGTAATCAGATATAATATTCAAAGTGTAACTTGTAGAGAATCTCTTCTGCCAGCCATGGTATTAATCGCCTTCCTATCCTGTCCACATATTGATAAAGGGGCGAAAGTTCTTTGTACTCCCCCGCTAAAGAAGCTTTATGCGGAGATTCGCTTATCTGGAAAAACTGTTGACACGTTTCAAAAAATAGATACAATTTCCTTATCCGGCATATGACCAGCAAAGTGGCGGATTTACAGCACGTGTAACTTGTTTTGAAGTTGAAACCTGAGAGGTCATTGAGCTTTGGCGTTTGCTATAACGTGCAATCCAATTCAGCGTATCTGGTAAAGTGCCACTATATCATTACATTGCGGAACTTTCAAAAGCGATAGCAATCAGATCAACATTGGGCCTTCCGCATCTCTCGTCTTGGGGCCGCTTTCATCGGACTTGCTCATCGAACCGTCAAGTTTTCCATGTCAATGGCTCTGTTCAGCGGTAATAAACCAAATTATGATGAATGAGGCGCCATAAACGGGCCTTGGGTGGACAGCCGTTACGCGTCAGAGCCTGATTTCAGAGGCACGCGGCCCCAATATCCACGAGAGTCTCGGTTGATATGGTTCCAGGCCCAGCTCGACACGTTTATGATGGAGTTGTTGCGGCATTTTGTCAAGCGAGGTGATGCTAGTCTGAAGCGCGTACGTGGACTGCCTGGATTCGAGGACTGTGAGAAGGCCCTGCCCCTCCTGATCAGAGAGCTGAAATATTCTTCTCCATCGTTATAGGCAGTCCTCATCTATTACTCCCATGCCTCGTTTTATTTTCAATTAAACTATTTTATCCTTTTTTCCTTGCTTGCTTCATTCTTTTTCGAGTATTCTTTTTACCCTGTCTTTGAGCTCGCTGCTGAATCTTCCCGCGAATCTCCTCTCGAGTCCTCCTTTGACTCTTTTGATCTTGACTTTGATCTTGACTTTGACCTTGACTTTGACCTTGACTTTGACCTTGACTTTGATCTTGACTTTGATCTTGACTTTTGACATATGCTTCCACTTCCATCTTACTAAGCTGCATCCACGCGGCCCAGTTTGTCTATGTGAAGTAGTCAAAAAGGAAAAAGGAAAAAAGAAAAAGGAAAAAGGAAAAAAGGGCGAGCAATGAAGATGTTGTTTCTTCAAATCATCCAAATGGTCCTTCTCGCAGCTACTTTTACAGCTGGAACCGCGCCCGTTTCAAACTCAACAGGCCCAATCCAAGAATTCGAGTGGGCCTCCATCGTCCCAAACCGCCGTCTCGAGTACCATGACTGCTACAATGGCTTCAAGTGTGCTCGCCTTTCTGTCCCGCTGAACTGGCGCAACGCCAGCGACCCTCGCCTCGTGCACTTTGCGATGATAAAGTTACCAGCTGCTGTGCCAGACGACGACGCTACTTTTGGTGGCACAGTTGTTGTCAATCCAGGAGGTCCTGGGCTCTCAGGAGTGAGCTACCTCGTCGAAAAGGGCATCAACATCCAAAGGCTGCTGGTTGACATCCCAGGCACACGACACTACGAGATTGTTTCATTTGACCCTCGAGGAGTTGGGAGGACCACGCCATCGGTGGACTGCTTTCGCTCAGACCAACTTGTCCGCACATCCTTCGCTTTGGAAAACCATGGCAGAGGCCCGCTAGACTCGGAGAAAGCCATCGGCTATGGTCTGGGCCTCATGGGATTCCAATCTCTGCGATGCAAAGAGGAGGATGCCCTGAACCCAGACGGCGAGGCGATGAAGTTTGTCAACACCCCGAGCGTGGCTCGCGATATGGTCGAAATGGTAGACAAGATTGACGAGTTGAGGATGCGCGAGAAGAATAACGAGAACAGCGAAGAGAACAAGAAGAACGAGAAACCCGAGAAAAACATGGACGCGACAGTTGCCCGGATCCAGTATATTGGCTGGTCTTACGGCAGTGTCCTGGGCAACTACTTTGCGTCCATGTTCCCCGGCCGAGTTGGACGGATGGTTCTCGACGGCGTGATGGACCCGAGAGACTATGCCGCTGGTTCTGTAAGTCTGTAACATTCCATCATTTTGTTCTTTATCTGACCAATATCCAGGGCTGGCTCTCCAACACCCAAGACGCAGACAAACTCTTCGCCCACTTCTGGAAATCCTGCTTCAAAACCAACAGCTACGAAAAATGCCCCTTTCTCAAGACCGACAAGGACTGGGAAGCCGCCCAAAAACGCTTCCACAAATGGGTCAACCGCCTCGACGAGTATCCCATGGTCGTAAACTCGTCTTCCGGCGGGCTCATGGCGCTCAGGGGGGAAGACATTCGCCGTATTGTTGCCAACGCCCTGTACAGCCCTCTGCAGCACTTTCTGCCTCTTGCGCAGGCGCTCCACCAGGGCATGAGGGAATCGCCGGATCAGTGGTCCCAGTGGGCTGGTTTGGAGATACCCAAGCTGGGAGATGCGTTACGCGGCAAGGGCAGCAACGTCTCAGCCTCAGGCATGCCGCAAGTCAAGGACGAGCAGGGCGCGGCGGTTCTCTGCGGCGACGGCTCGGACATCAGCAACCGCGCCATCGACTGGTGGACGGATCACGTCTCTCAGCAGCGCAAGCAGTCCAAGCTCTTTGGCTTCTCGTGGGCCTCGATCCGCTTCAAGTGCGCGACCTGGCCATTCCGCGCCAACTGGGACTTCCAAGGCCCCTTCCGCACGCCCACGCACAGCGCCAACCTCGAGACGGACCGTCCAGCCGCGCCGCTGCTGTTCCTCAGCTCGCATCTCGATCCCGTGACGCCGTTCAGCCTCGCAGAAGAGGCGGCCAGCAGCCACGCCGGGTCCGTCATTGTGAGGCAGAAGAGCTTCGGCCACACGGCCTGGGCCAGCGCGCCGAGCAAGTGCACCTGGAAGATTGTCGCAGACTATCTCTCCCAGGGCACGATGCCCAAGAGCGGCACGGTGTGCGAGGCCGACTGCGGGCCGTGGGACGCAAAGTGCAATGCCTTTGAGGTGTCTAAGAATTTTGACGTTGACGAGACGGCGTGGAAGGCCATGTATGGGGTGGAGCAGCCCGGTCGAGTCAGACGGACGCCGCTTGGATTGGAGTAGAAGATTGACTTGGCTTGGAATGTTTAGGAAGCGTTTACAGCAGCAAGGATAGGCTATTGATGACTTGATACCCATATAAGTAGAGAACTAGTATATAAAAATGAGGACGATTATTCACTATCCCAGCCTCAGAATCATTCGCCGTAGCAGCGACATAACAAGACAGCCGGTCCATGCATGGAGACAATTAACTGCCATTACACTTGGCAGAGGCAGCAGAAGCAGCAGAGGCAGCAGAAGCAGCAGAGGCAGCAGAAGCAGCAGAGGCAGCAGAAGCAGCAGAGGCAGCAGAAGCAGCAGAGGCAGCAGAAGCAGCAGAGGCAGCAGAAGCAGCAGAATACAAGAGCCAGTTCGTGCTCGCCTTCCTGATGGATATTTGAAACACTGGCCAATTCCAATATCAAGTAAAAGCAGATTCAGACCCGTCATCATCAATGACCGGCGTCCTTTATTGCGCTACCGTACATAAAATACTAGATATTCATACGAGCAACCACCAACACAAGGGTATATAACAAAGTCACTCCCGTTTGAGCACCTCAGCAGGCATCCCATCCATCACATAAGCCTCTTAAATATTGCATCTTCTCTCTCTTCCCCTCGAGCAGCGTATGGCTACCACCTGGCCGGAAAGGCAGATGGGCCAATGATAAATAACAAATTTCCCAAGAAAGTACTGCCTGCTTTAATTCCAAAAACACAAACGAAACTCCTATTGCTCCTATTGCCCACTACGCCAGAACAAACAGTCGTTGCTCCTAATAACAAAACTGTGCCGCCAAGACATGTTGCCGCCAAGATGTATCCCTGTAAAACTGCGATTCCATCTGCCAGCTCTTGCCCAATACTGGTGAATAGAGGCTGACCCAAAAAGCTTGGCATTGGAAAGAGGATATCGTATCATTAGTGGGATCCCGCCTGGCGATCCTCTGGAGGCGGCGACGGGGATCGTGCTCTGCGGTTGTAACCAACAACGCCAGGTATGATGCCAAAGAAATTGTGTTGCCAATTCGATCGGCGTGCCTCAGAGGGTTCCACTTCCGCTACGCCTTGCTCAACATCCTCATCGCTGCTGGATGATGCTGAACCTTCAACCACCTGCTCATCGTCATCGTCGTCGCCATCGTCATGGTACGGTTCATATCTAGGGTTAGTCCATGAGCTACGGCCCATGGAACGGACAACGTCTCCCTTGCAGATTGGACATGTTCGCCGACGAGTAGTCAACCATGGAGTGCTTTTTATGCCCGTTAGTCTGATATTCCCAACAGGAAGGAACAAGAATACTCACATGCAGTCGGCGTGGAATTCATGGCCGCAAGGAAGCCTCATCACCCTACTCACGCCATCGATATATTCCTCCAGGCAGACGACACACTCTACCTGTCTTCCCATGTACTTCCTCCACTCCCCTGAGATGGCCCCCCTTTCGTGGCCCGAACGGCCAGCACGAGGGTTCGTCTGTAGCGCCGACAAGCTGCTGGAAGCTGGCGTGTGGAAATTTGCGCTCTCCAAAGCTCCACTGGCGGTCCTGGAACGAGGCCGTGGTCTGCTGGGTCTGGGGTTAGACTGTAATAGCGGCGTGGTCGCCGTTGCGCCTGAGGGAGAGGGAACCCTGGGTGACATGCTGGGGGAGCGTGCGACGGTGTGGTAGGTCCTGACGGGCAGTCGCTCGACCACAGATTTGGGCGCTCGCCATCTTCTCCTTCGAATTCTCGCACGCAAAACCAGGAGAGCATATACGATTGAAAGTGTCACCAAGGGGCTGATTACAAGGACAAGGAGGGTATCGAAGAACGGACTGGCGCTACTAGTCGGCGTGATGGTAACCCAGAGGCCCTCATGATGAACAGGATCCTCGTCCTCCTCTGGAATGTCGTCCTCATCATCACCATTGTCAAGCTCAAGAGCCTCATCTATCTCGTCATCATCATCACCAAATATTCGGGAGATGAGGCCCTTGCCCTTGCCAGATGGCGCGACTCCTCTGAGCTCAAAGGTCGAGGTAGACTCAGTTTCATCTTCAGACACCTTACGGAGCCTATACTCGCCGCTGCTTGGAGTAATGCTTCCACCTTTGGGTTCATGGGGGATCGTCATCTTGTCAGAGACATCAGCAAGAGAGGCCGGTGCCTTGGCATTGCTTAGAACATCTGGGTCCCGCCAGTCTTGAACTCCGATAACAAAGTCGTCGCTTCCTGCTTTCGGTCGCTTTGGTTGCTTCTTCTGTTTCGTTGAGCTGGGTCCTGTAACACTGTCTTTTTCGTCAACCCGATCCTCGACCACCACCCAGTCTATTTGGCCGCTGCTGGGCGGCCGGCTTTCACTGTGGACGCCACGAGAAGATGTGCCCCATTTGAAAAAGCGTGAAAACCAACCCGTCTTAGCTTCTACTTCTTTTCTCTTGGTCAATCGGTTCGCCTTGGCCGACCTCTTTGACTTCTTCGACCGAGTGGTCTTCGAACCTGAGCTCTTGCTCTTTCTTGCCCTGGAACCTTGCTGGACTTTCAACACAGGGTTGCCGTTGTCGTCGAGAGTGTCTTCGATAAAACTGCCAGGCTGCGTCAAGGAAGACAGCAGTTGTGCGGTCGTCCGAGCTGTGAACACCGACGGAATGGTCACGTTGTCGACCTCGTCGCCATGGGCAAACATTTGGATCAGCGGTCCCCCTTTGACGTTGTCGCCCACGATAACACCAATGGCGCCTCTGCGCTGTGCCCACATGACTTTTTCTAAGAATCCACATCCTCCGCGCATCAACAGAACAATCTTTCCCTTGATCTCTGCTCCTTCTTGAATCGATTGGATATCGGCGTGAGAGGATGCAGAGGCGTCTTGGCGAGGGAGGGCGCTGCTAAATCTGACGTGGAGGTGGTTGTCGGTGCCATCATCAGTAGGAATCTTCAGGTCGAGGCCTGCTCCTGCATCTGAAGCCGGTTTGTCTAGACTAAGAAGATCATCATGTGCCCGAGGATGGCGTATAGATTTGAAGGCATCGGCGCGCAAGGCAGCTCCGCGAACGCTTTGCTTCAGCGCATGTTTTGCGTCTGCGCCGTCCCAGCCAGGAAGGTCGCTGCAGCCGAGCTCTCCGTTGACGTCGAAGCTGTCTTCAGTGAAGCCGCTCCCAACCCACAGCTGCCCGCTCAGGCCGCCCGGTGATAGACTGGGCCCGAACGCTGCAGGTCGAGCCGCAAAAGATGTGCTGTTGTCGTCGGTCAGGCTGATGGCGGCGTTGGGCGGAAACAGCGAGAAGGGCGTGTTGTAGAAGATGAGTCCCCATATCGATCTATTGGGTCGGCTCTCAGTGGGGTACCGAGACGATGCGGCGTGTCTGGACGCTGTCGCTGAGCGGAAGAGGAGGAAGAGAGTCGAGGAGATGCAGAACACAAGGATCACGATCCGAGGGGTCCGCATCGTGAGGCGTGTAGTTGCGGGCTGGCCGCAGATGTATGGGCTTGTTTGCGTTGTTGTTAAATTCTGTTTCGCCAAAGATGAGGTTGTTATGCCTCAGCTCAGGGAGAGGCTGACGTCGTCCGGCTGAGACAACCGCATGAGCTCAATGCCGGGCGACAGGATGAGAAGAGAAAAGTATTATCGGATACGCGGGAAACGGCGAGAACAAGAACAAACAGATAAATCACTTTCTAGAGGGACGATATAAACGACGTAGGACGACGCGCACAAAAGAATCGGGCGTAAGAAGGGTAAAATAGGAAACAGAGTTTGGCGTCCAGAGGATAAAAGCCGAGAGGTATTGGGCTACTGAGCAGTAAACTGCACAGGGCGGGGTGGGCAAAGAGGCGCGACGATGGGCCTCTGCACTTAAGAAACACGACGCTTATAGCGAGCGGGCGGCAGTGGCGGAGGAGGCCCAGGCCGCTAATAGTGCCAAGGCAGTGGCCTGTAAATGCAACAGTGGCGCTGTAAGTGTCTTGGAACATCCGTTTCCGACCAGAACAAGCATTTACGCATATGTAACGGCAAACCGACTTTCTGCAGCCCAGTTGCTGCTTCGAGATCTCAACGCACGTGGAATATGAGGCTTTGCAAGATTCCCAGCGCACGACGGCTTTCGCTGCCACTCCCGGCATTTCGCTGATCTGACAGACGGGGCATCGCGGGTTCGGCTTCTGTGATCGAGCACGCGTTTAGCACGCCTGGCTGTGGGACGATGGGCTGAGAGCTGCTAGCCGGTGGAGCCCTGGCCCGATGCTGGGCTGCCTCACGACATGAGCTGGAATAGCTCAGCTCGCTTCAATTTCCATATAGGCCAGCTACATTCATGTTGGCCAAAAGCAGGGAGAATCTTCGAAATGGGACAGCGTCACCGTTTCTGCCTTCGTTTTTGCTTCCCAAAATGTATCGAGCCTAATGTGACACTACCTATCTGAATCAATCAGCCGACAGCAGCGGAAGATCAGATTGATACAAAATAAGCGGGACTGCATGTGTCCTCGCGCCGAATGGGGAATTGTCTGGAGAAGACATGGATTTTACTATGTACTACTATTTATAACATCACAGTACATGATCTGCCTCTCTTCATATCTGCTCCCTGCATCCATCGCATCTTCAACAACAGACCGTCACATCGAAATGTTTACAGATCAAACCTCCTACAGCGATGATCTTACACAAATTACCGTCCTAGCACAAGGGGAGCCGTTCAAGGCCAGAATTAGGTTCTGATGGCCAGCAGAGCTAGGGGCCGTGTATCCACTAACATTGAACCCACTACTGTAAGCATCCACTGCCCTTTGGCTGCTGAGGAACATGAAGAGCTGCATGACGCAACTGCTCGTGACGACATCAGGTGGATCAGATGGCATGACTTGCTTGCAGCGTGCCATTCCCGGCACTTGTGACTGCCCTGGCCAAAGGGTATTTGAAATCCAGCTTTTGCGAGTGAAACAGCAGATGGGCAGATATCAAATGAATGCGTATTCTTTTAAAAGCTGCGCTGAGGATGAAAAGACGGGAGTCAGTAGTTCTTGGAGTGCGCACGTGCTCTCATAACCGCAGACGAATACGAAGGGGGCTCAATCCCAGCATCTTCAAGTTGTATCGTTTGGCCAGGGGTAGCTTTTGCATTAGGCATGATTTGCATGTGCTTCCCACTTTTGTGATCTATGCCCTGCACATCTGCGTATTCACGCAAGTCATGGCATTTCCAAGTAGATATATGCGTGCTTTTATATATAGAAAAATGTCTACAGTAATAATCTTTTGCTGCTTCGTAAATCATAACTCATATGGACTCGGTCAATTTCCAAGCAACAGCCAATTCTCCAAGCAATAACCAACAGAAATCTCAACCCAGCGCCTCTAACAAAACCATCCACTCAAACCAGCCAGCTATTTACTAAATACTAATGCGCCCATCCTAATGCTACTCCTGAATCAACCTCCTATATGACCTCAGAATTCTGATAAGACGCCGCGCATGGTGATATCGTCGCTGTCATCTCCATCCTCCCCCTTCCCGCGATCCCATGCCCTCTTTTCGCCCGCCTTGGACCACACCACATCCTCCTCCGTCTTCTCTCGTTGGCTACTGCTTGTCTTCTGAGCCTGGTGTTCCGCGGTCTCGGCTGCTCTCATCCGTTCTTGTTGGATCAGTCGCAGCTTCTGGCGATTTTGAAACGCTTCCACCGGATCATCATCGTCTGGTAGGACATCTGTACTTGGATCGTATGAATCAGAAAACCGCCGATCTAGGCCAGACGCTCCTCCAACGGTCCCCCGTCCACGGTATTTAGGAGGCGGAGCAGGTCCAATTAATTCTTCCAAGGGATCTGACTCGTCGCCATCATTTCTGTCACGAGTATCTCTTGAAGGCTGCTTCTCTGCAGCTAAAGGAGAGCGGCTCCGATGTTTGCTTCTCTTCGTTCGAGGTGATCGAGAACGTCGGCGGCGGCGGGGCGACCTGGATCGATCTCTTTCGCGGTCGCGAGAATGTCGGCGTTTATGTTCCGGGGAGTGGTCGCGGTGCCTCTTTCGGGAGCTCCGTGATTTATCTTCGTGGTGAGACCTTCGCTCGTCGTCCTGGGGGCTTCTTGACAGCCGGCCATAGTCTTTCTTCGACGTGCGACGATCAGAGATTGCATCTCTATCGCGATGCGACGACCGATGCGAATGGCGATCGCCATCACTCCTATTCTTAGATCTTCCTTCGCTAGCAGCCGTCTTCGTATCATCGTCGCGTTTGTGTCTTGGCCCGCCTAGAATGGATTGGATGCTTCCAAGCTGCCGCTTCCGTATATCCCTGGGAGTTGGGTCCGTCTTGAGTCGTTTGACCTCTTCCGCGCGCTCCAGGTCCTTCAGCCTCGCTCTTGACTCGGCCGCTTCCTTGGCAAGCAGCGCTTTATTGTGCGAATCCGTTTCGTTGATGATGTTCCTCAAGAATCTCGTATTCGGTTTCAGCGAGTTGGACGGCCTTTCTCTCCGTCAGAACAATGCCCCATACGCAGAACCGCGAATTGTATTACTTAGTTTTGGTGTTGAAGGCTTCCATACCCATTGCGGAGTACTTCAGCGAGCAGTCGCTGGCCTCTTTGGCCAGAAGGCCGGCGACATATTCGTCGGTGAGAAATTCGTCGTTTGGCATAATAAAAGCAGAACAGCGAAGCTAATAGAACATAATAATGGTCGTGACGTCCGTGATGTAACAGTAAATCTGAGTTGAAGAAAACAGGGTCCAGCAAACAAGTTCGCAAAAGGTGACTCAGCGCATGAGACCCCTGTTGATAAGATAAGTGGTGCATGCAACACGAACGCTAGACTGTATTGGGCTCTGTGTCAACACGCTGCATCAACTCTGCATCACAGGCGCTGGCGATATTCAATCTCAGAAGAGCGAGCAGACTCTCATTGTATTGACTGCTTTGCGAAGTGGTTTTTTTAATTTTTGAACTGCAAGATGAGCACGAAAACACCAGAAAAGGTGCTCGAGGCTCTGCGCCGTCTCCAGGAGAAAAACGAGCTTTCCATCATCAAATTGAGCGAGCCAATTTCAAATTCTACGCCAAATGATGCCCGCCAGCGCATCTCCGACGCGTCCAACACGTCCATGGACGGCCCTTCTCCAACCAGCCTGGACGCGGATCTTATTCATTACAAAGAGCTCTTTTCCAAACTCCGATTTTCCTATGTCGAGCAGGTGACAAAGGAGAAGTTCATCCGCGCAATCGTAGGCGATCCGCCGCTCATTGTCACGCTCCAGGAGAACCTGGATCTTGAGCGGGAAAATGCAGAGGCCAAAGCGCAACTCAAGAATCTCAAGTTGGAGGTGGCAGACATGGTTTCCGACTTGGAAGCCAGGGGGCGAGACCTAAGCAAGCGCTATGAAAAGATTCAGCTGGAGACTGTGCGGTTGGAAGAGCTGCCTGCCAAGACAATCGAGCTGGAGAATCGCATCAAGGAGCTCAAAGACCAGAACGAGGAGTCAGATGCGGATCCGAAACTCCAGCTGCCTCTCGCAAAGACGCTCAGCCTTGTTTCGAAGCGGAAAGCCGAGCAGCAAGAGCTTGCGCGAGAGCTTGAGGCGCTGCAGTCCAGGGTTCCCAGAAAGAGAAAGGAGGTAGAAAGACTGCAGGCTGAGTTGCAGCCGTTGGAAGTGAAACGACACAATAGTACTACGGCTGCGCGTGAAGCTCAGAGGAGGAAAGAGGCCGCTCTTGGCGGAGTTGCGGATGATCTCGAGCAGAGAGCTCGATGGTGGAGAGCCAGCGAGAGCATGTTGAAGCAGGTCCTTGATATCAAGCCATGACGCGAACGAGTGTGAATTTACGGCATTATACGAGCATGGTTTATAGAGGTTTAAATGGGTTTGTTTGGCGTTTTTGGTTTGCTCAGATACTGCAATGCTTGGGCTAAAGGGGCGTTGGAAGGCTTCTTATTGGCCTTGGACGGAAAGTGCTTTGAAAAGATTTTGTGTATATACCAGAAGCAAAAATTAATTTTAAGAACGAGGCCCAGATCTATTGAACAAGCATTCTATACTCTTATACCTATCGTGAAATTACGCGACATTTTCAGCTAGTGTGCGCCTTTGTCCCAGATCATGCGAACCTCGAGATTAAGAGATGTCTTCTTCGCTCTACGAATCATTTCTTTAGACATCGTAGGTAAAGAATGTAACTACTGATGCGTTAACCATCAGCATGAGAAAACAGAAATCTAACTGCGTAGTAAAGTAACGTCCTTTGGAATCGAGTGTTGCAGAAAATTGGAATATGCTCCGAACTCAACACACTGAAGTTGATTCATATGTTAAGATTTTTGAACAGACGCGTAGATTTAGAAAAATGCGTAAATCATCAAAATGAAAAAAAGTTATCTATCAGGCTATATTAACATACGTCGTCAAACCACAACCAGCAAGGCTTTCCAAGAACTTGCGGCATAGAGTTCCATGGAATATTGTATTCACGTCGTCAAGGAGGCAAGAGGGTATTGCAATATAGTTGAACTTTTTGGGGTGCGCTCTTAATAGCTTTAACTGGCGACGAAGAAATCATTTGCAGTCCTACAGACATCAATATCTACGACAGGGATAAGCTATTAAAGTGAGCTAGTTCTTTGCCTTTAATGCTGTGCGGACATACGCGGTATGAGTTTCAAATGGACTGTAAATGAGTCTATCTTCTATGCGAGCAACAATTGAAGTATCCAAAAACTTGGATCAGATTGTTTCTTAGAAGACACGCGGAATAGCAAAGCCGTCTAGTTTCGTGTTAGACACATGGATGAAAAAATTGAAGATTTCTATCATGTTACATTGAATTTACACGCAACTATACAGTAATGTATTACTAGAGACACAAGCACAAGCAAACTGCAGGTTTAGTCTGCATATCCATAAAATTGTAGAGCCCTTGCTAGAATGTTCTTTTGCCTTCTTGTGGCTAACAAGATCCCATACTTTCACATGATGTATTCTAATTGGGAAACCCTTTCGTTTATTATTAACGAAATGGACCAAGATTTCTATCTTTTTTTTTCACACATTAAATAGCCAAATATGTTTCCTCGTTGTGTTTATTAGCCCAACAGAAGAAACGCCAAAGTCCATAGTTGCCCCCCTTTCTCACTCGCCTTCCGATCTGTCTCCGATCCTTGACGTGCAAATTTTGATTTTGATGGATCTGGAAGCAAAATAACAGCCATTTCGTCATTTAGTGCATATATTCTATTCTTCTTCTACTCTACAATGATTAGCTGACTCGCATAGCTAACAACGATTGGTATAGCTCTTTCACCTTATCTCAGCCTCATCCTTCGAAACTATTCACGCACGCGACACACGCCTAGCAAAGTCAAACGCAGCAACAACGTGCGTCAATACACCCCTCCTAGGCAAACATCCCCCTCATCCAAAAGAGCAATCAATTGGCCAGAGAAGCTACCTAAGCAAACACTGCGGAAAGCCTCCGTCGGAAAGACAACGGAGAGAAGTGTGGTTAGCCAGCCAGCCAGCCAAAGCTGAAAAGGAGGCTTGTCCCGGCCTTCTGGTTATCGGTCTACCCCGCAAAGTCTGATTCCTAATAGTGCCCAGCCTCGCTGGCGAGAGGCCAATCGAGGATGCGGATCGCTCTTCTTTGGCGGTGCGGCTGGGCCGTTAACGAAGCCTCCCAGCAATCAGAGCGAGCCGGCGTCGAGTTTGGCACACGTGCCTCCTGAAAAGCACGTTTTGCTCTCGTGCGAGAAAACGACCGGCTGTTTTTCCAGGGAACCAATAGACATCCAGGTGGAAACAGCTATTTGGAACAGAGGGGAGAGAGCCCCTCGATTTGCATGTCACGGCCGTTATCCGAGATCGACCAGTCATATGGTATACTTGAGGATTCTCTTAGGTATACCTATGCTTACCTTACCTTACAGACGGGATGAAAAGTATCTTTTCTTGTCAGCGTAACTCTAATATTAGTATTTGGCATCGTGCCTCGATTAAGCTTGTCATCGGAGGTCGCCGACCGGCAAGACATAAAAATCCCCGAGGGACAGTAGCAGCCCCTGACCCAAGAAACTGTGATGTCAGGGCCGCCAAGGCCAGTTCATTTCCATTAGAGAAAAATGCGCAGAAGCGTTCTTTGACGCCCCAATTCGAGTCGAGAAGACGCCTTTCTTGCGAGAGAGCCAATAGTGAAATTTGAGAGAGTCCCTGGGCGTTTTGAAGGGCAGAGGGGAAATCGATTCGAAGGGAGGGGTGTGAGTCAAACGAAAAGTTGAATTACTAATTAAACAATTGAAATGAAAATTCGAATAAAATAAGATAAAATAAAATGAATAAATCTAGCAACAAGCAAATGGCAATGGCAAACGACTTTCCATTCTAGTGTTATCGTAGACCCAAGTTACCGGGTACAAACTTCAAACTATCCGACTTAAGGATTCGGCAAAGAAAGGCTATGGCTCTCGCTGCATCGAATGGGGGCATAATAGGGCTGAGTGAGGGTGGGAAGGAACTTCACTTGTTTTAGAGCTATCTTGCAAGTTTACATTGCTTTTTTACAACTTGCTGGCGCTGAGTAAAGCTGTGTGAGGCTTAAGCCACCGACAGCTGATTGAGACTGGGTGGAATGGGGCTATTCACGGTGATTGGATGAACAGCAATGGCGGACATGTATTTAATCTGGTATTTATATCAAGGTTTGGTTAGTGCTTGGACAAGCACATGCTCTGGATGATCTTCAGCCCGCTCTTCCTGACTCATGTGTAAGTTGGAGGAGCAGGTCTGCATGTCAAAGAGTCGAGATCGTGTGAGAGCTTGTTTAGTAGCCAAGGTAGTGTAGTAGTTTTGGACCCTTCTCGACTATTTTCTTTTGACAGGTGAAGATCTTGTGACAAACATGGGCGTTTGCAGCCGCTGGTCTTGGAGCTATCACTACACTTGTTGACGATCCCATCTATCAGAGCCGGGCGACATCCATGATGCTTGTAGAGCAACGCTTTACGGCAACGTCAGCCCAAATACGCCCTTGATGATAATAGATAATCAACGTCTTTGTGTCATGGCAAACGCTCGTCTAAACACCACACCTCGCTGTATGCAGCCAACTCACAGTCATCAAGTAAAATCTACCAGCCATCAAGCACGACAACCGCCAAAGAGGCACGCTTTGTCTCTTTTGACTCGCGTTTTAGCCTGGTACCGAGCTCTCGGCATCGGCATTATCTCCCCACACCCTCAAGCCATTCGGAATAAACTCTTAACTCTATGCAACCACCACCGTTAGCCGAAATACCTATCTAAGCATCGCCGACAAGGCTGAGGAATGAACCAGAACTCTTAACACCGTCCAGGCGAGTAGGTGCTACAGCAGCCACATTTTAGTCATAAGGCATCAGTGCCAGCAAATAGCAACCAGGCGGGAGCTTGTAAGAGGGGGTAAGATGGCATGTAGCACAAAAAGTTGAGGAAGGGAATCTATGCGAGCAGACCAGTAAGAGAGAGGCAGAAGGATGCTCGCTGCATCAACAGGACGAAGTCATGACATAGCTACAGCGGACTCATCACAAATTCGGGCTCAGGCGAAGGATCATTTCGTCCGTCGAAAGCCACGATGAGCTGTTCATAGGGGAGCTGCAGAGCTCGGCACAGGGATT